ATGAACTTTAATACATTGTGACACTTACTAGAAATAGATATATATATATATACTCGTTACTATCAGATATAATAGGTTTATTATCTAAGACTTACTTTGAAGTTTTCTATTGATTATTTTCAATCATAATAAATTAACCATATATCATTGGATTTAGTGACAAATAGAAAAAAAAAGCAAATTCGAGTGTTTTTTTTTTACTTTGATGTAAAATAAAATATTTGTTAGTAGAAGATCGAAAACTGTTTCGATTACAAATATACCTATATTTGTTCTCATATTTCATGGTGCTTTACATAGAAACAAAAGCAAATATTCTTTTTTATCACACAGTACCCAAGTTTTGTATCAAGGTTGGAGAAAATGGCGCTGTAAGCGGTCATAAACAATATAAAACAATGAAAACCGGCATCTTTACATCATCGTTTCTCGTAAGGTCATAAAACAGTGAATATATTGAAAGAAACGATGACAGCTAGCTAGCGGAAAAACGAAATGATGTATTACGGCGAAATACGATGAACATTAATGCAGTAATATGCCCTCTTCCATGGTCGGAATGATTTTCATGGGAATATGATTTTGAAAATTTATTTATTAATTTGATAGTCAATAAAAACTGTATGTTTAAATAGCCTTGAACATTGCTGAATGGAAAAGAATTCATGACTTTGGTTTATTTTATAGAAATATATTATGTAAAAACTAAGAATATCGTTCTTAAGAAAAGCATAAAAACCGAATATTTGACTTGAATTACTTTCATTCAAAAGTATCCGAAATTACATAGTTTAATACAGAACACTTTATTTGAATTCCATGCATGCCTAAAATTAATATTTTTTTTGGGTAATTTAAATAAGAAAAAACTATACGTTAAAGATAAATCAAAACTTGACCGATGAATAGAGTCCATTGAATCTAAAATTTTTGGAGTAGGACTTGAATTGTACTCCTAAATTTGACGAAATCATCTAGTCTGAATCTGTCAGTCGCTCCAAATTCTTCTAGTAACACATTTTTCAGATAATCTTGATGATGATCTTATTATAATCAAGTCATAATTAGCTGTTACCTTTTTATAGTATGGCCCGTTAGGTTAGTCTTTGAGACCGATTCGATAAGCTCTACTGACAAAGAATATGAATGGTCATTAGTAAAATTACTCATAAATACAATTATTATGTCACTTAATAACTTGAATTTTATTCATTAAATATCATTGTATACGTTTGAAAAAAGAACATCAAAGATTTCATTGTTTATATGTTTTGCTTTTTTTTTTTTCAAATAATGAGACTCTTGAAAACGATTTTCGACTAGATCAAATATTAGTTATTGTTCGTCACTAAAACGTAAACGTTGTGCAGGTGAACCTTCATCATCATATTGCACATTACACCGAGTTGATGCTGGAATTATATTTATATTAAGTTCAGCTAAACGAGTTTTATTCATAACAAAAAATTGTCGTAATTGATCACCATCATATGTTGGTACAAGTGTTACCTAATAAAACAAAAGGTTTTTTTTATATTTCTAAACTAATAATAATAATAAAACTAACTGGTATATGTTCTTGTTTATCCCATTGTTGTTTTCCATCAATTAAAGATTCTAATGTAAGACGATTTATTTCAACAGCATTTAATATATAATAACGAGCGCGTATACGACGAAAAAATTCACTATCAACATAATGTTCATTACCATGATATGGAATATATGCAACATCGACATAAAATATTGTACCTGATGGTAATGTTTGTTTTGATTTACGTGGATTATTAATTGAAATTGTCGGAACACTTGATTTTCTAACTGTTGTTTTTTTCAAATGATTTTCATCATCCATTGGTAAACCTTGTAAATTAATTTCGCCAATTGATGGCATTGTATTAGTCGTTGTTGTTGATATATTATGATGAACTATTTCTATATCATCAGTTTTATCAAGAAATGGATTTCGAGTATTAGGTGCTCCATCAACAAAACTTGTTGTCATGGGATCAGTAGAAATAAAATTTGAATTAGTTTCATCAAGTGGTGTTGCAGCATTGCTATCAACAAATGATTCATTTGTATCCTCAGTAAATGAAAATGATTCTGGACGTTTTATTTGAACATCATCATTAATTATATCAGATGAATCATTTGTTTCTTTTGATTGATTATGATTGTTCTAAAAAAAAAACACACAAAAGAAAATATTTTGTTAAATTTTCAAGAAAACTTTCAAATTTAACGAAAGAGTTGAAAGTTTTTTTTTTCTTTTTTAATGAACTTTGATTTATAATTAGATTATAATGTTTGTTTAGAACTTAATTCAGAAATAGAGATGTGAGAGATCAAGTTTTTTGGTTCTGATTCCAGTCACGAGATTAAAGTTGATTCCGCACATTTCGCTATTCAAAAATTAGTTTTTAACATCTTACGTACATTTGATTGTTCTTGTTCAATGTTTTGTGTATTTAATTTTTGTTCCTGATTATCAATTTGATTAATTTTAGTAACGTTTTTTGATATTGTTTGGCGAGAATTTTGTGTTTTCTTATCTTTAGTAGTTGATTGAAGAGATCTATCAGTTGTTAAAACAGATGTCTAAATTATTAGTAAGATTAATATTTGTTAATTTAATATGAATCTTATTTACTTTCTTATCTGTTTTTGTTGTTGTAGGCGCTGATCGAGGTTTATTATCTGATTTTAGAGTTGTATTTGATAGAGGTTTTGATTTTGACATGACAGTACGTGGAAGAACTTTAGTTGTTTCACCACTTGATGTTGGTTTAGGTTTTGAGGATAGATTTTTAATATTTATGCTGCTATTCGTAGATGATGCTGTTTTAGCACTGCCGGCTCGACTTGTTTGATGTTGTTGTTGAGATTCATGTAATAAATCCAAATGACGAACTCTGGCTAATGCTTCAAAGACAAGTGTTTGTGGACATGCACCTGTATATAGAATGCGAACTAAACTATCTTTGGTCGATTTCGATGTTGGTGTCCAAACGAGAAGTGTACATGATGAATACCAATGATGAAGAGGAATTATTGAAGGTGATGGTTGTTGATCACGAATTGGAATCTAAAGAGATAAAAATAGATTTTTATTTTGTTTAATTTGTAATTCAAATGTCTTGTTTTACTTTTTGTAAAGTTGCTAAATATTTATCATCATCAACTGATGATGGTAATGGATATAAAATATAAAGATCAAGTGAACCAAAAGCTATTTTTTTATAAAGATTAATTGGTTCTATAGTATGTTTATTTGGTGTTGTAGATTTTACTAAATCAAATGTTTCAATATTTAACTGTTTAATATCATGTAAAAATTGATCTATATTATGAGATAAATTGACTGATAATTTGCTATTAGATAATATTTTTGATGAATGTGATGATTGAAATCGTGCTCGTTGAATATGATTAACAAAAATAGCTCCTATATCCGGTTTACATAATCGACCATCATGTAATGATGGAATTGTTTTTCGATGAAGAATTGTTTGTAAACCAGGTAGAACATCATAATCAAAATGTGTTAAAATACAAGCATCAATAGTTTGTAAACCACGAATTAAATTCCAATAAGAAGGCATTCGACTAAAATACAAACCACAAAAAAATTCTGATTAAATTTTTCAATTATTTTAAACAATATATGAAAAAAAAAGACAGCAAATTTAGAATTTATAGCTAAAGCAAATATTCATTATCGAAAACAAAACAAAAAAAAGATCTTTTAAAGTAATTTGATATTAACGTAAATGATCAGAGCTGAGCACCGAACGTAACGATCCTACCGTTCAGCAAGAAAAGCAACGGTAGGATGAGAGAGAGAGAGAAGCAAGACTGGTATTTGATCAATTTCTTTTTACAACTTTTGCATAATACCTACTCTCGTCAATGATACTTTATACATATTGCGAACGAGGATCTTCGTTCTTCCTAATTGCTAAATTAATATATACTTTTCTGATTAAAAATCAAAATAAGTACTCAGTTGTGTAAGAAGAATCCTTCGGACCTAGTCGAATCGTACTTTGATACTCTCAATGAAATTTTCTAATCGGAATAGGATAGTCGCCCAGAATATTCGAGATATTTTTTTCAGACCTGGATTCGATTGAGTCCGGATCCAGAACCAACCCCGATGAGCTCTATGTGTGCATGATTATGAAAATCAACTTGAGTTTTCTATGCTCTTTTACCCCTTATCACTATTATTCATTTCAAACAAAAACGATACGCTTGTTTATTTTTCAATGGATCGGAAAATAGATTATGTCATCAGGGAATACTTTTATAGACGTTTATACACAAGAGAATTTTCCCATTGATAGCTCTTTCTATTTCCGATGTGATTATTAAACGGTGAATATATTCGTTTTTCTTTTGCATTAATGAATAATAGATTATCCTGTTTTAAATGTAAGTAGTCATAGTTGTCCTTGTCAAAAATTTTCCGATAAATTATCCTTTCAATAAAATACGAACAATTCTTGATGTTTATTTTAATCATACAATTTTTTTATGTTACATTCGATTTTATTGTTTTTTATTCGCAACAAAAAAGAAATCCGACTAATAAATTCTCATGTTATAATTTAAGCTTCGTTGAATTGATTTTAGTGTTTACTTCTTTTCGAATGCAACCGGTAAAAACTCTAACTTTGTTTAAGTCTATGATTGTATTTTAAAAATTATACGACATTCTCATTTCATAGTATGAGCTAAGACGATGATCCATTTGTCATGATGACGTTTTATAAAATCATTTAAATATATTCGGGCTTAATTGTTTACAAACGATAATGTAAAATCGATCAGCTGTCTTCTATTTAGGCTCATTGTCTATACGCCTAAACTCTGTGTCAATAGCTAATACATTTATCAACAAATATTTAAATTCAAACATAAACTTAATTACACTAAAATGAAATCTCAACAACTGAAGTCCTTAGTACGGATAGAGCAGCAAAACATAAGGAGACAAGTTTTCGAGGAAAAAATTTTAGAGTAGATTTTTGCGATTGTTTTTAAAGAATTTTCGATTTTCATATGACTGTATTACGGTCTTCATCGAAATATATACGATTGGGCTGAAAATATGTTTCTGAGATACATAAGCTTATATCTCAAAGTCAATTTTAAGTTTTTTCAAAAACCTCATTTTCCTTTTTCTTGAAACAAATATGTAAACGTTCGAAGTCAAAACCGAGGTTTTGGTTTTAAAGATTCTGTAATTCCGAATAGGAAAATCAAAAAACGAAAACGGATGAAATTATCTTTGAAAGGATACTTGCAAGTATCAGTGATAATACTTTCAGTTCCATTGAACAATGTTAGATAGAGGTCGTAAGCAACCAGGATACAGCCCTGTAGACAACCAGCATTGTTCAGAAAAAAAAAACGCAAAAATTCAATTCAAAATTTTTTTTCTTCGAATACATGTTTTCTTAATTTTTGTTGTGAGTTGAAATTAGTACATGTTACTAGTCACTAGTCGATAGACTGGTCATGACATGTGTGTCTTATCTATTTTTTGTCTTCTTATCTCATAGAGAGTGTGTAGTGAAACTTTGTTGAAAGCTGGCTACGTCAAATGTTACTATCCAGAGATAGACTGATAGACAACTCGTCAGTCTAGTGTCGATATAGATTCTAGATCGATTGACAGATCAACCGATTCGGTCCGGTGTGGTCTACACAAATCGATTGTATCTTTGGAAGAGAAAACCGTTAAACGAGAACATTTTTGACAAAGTATTTTGTTAGAAATGAGCATAGACTAATTCTATAAAACTATTCAATTCAACTTTAATTCATTAATTTAATCCTAATTTAAGTATTGATTACCTGAAACCTCCATTAACTAATACAACAAAACCTCGAATACCAAATAATGATGCTTCACCTTGTTGACCATATAATATATAAAGATTTGGCTCATCGAAAGCAACTAAAAGAAAAAGAAGAAAATTTTCTTCGAAAACTAATTTCTTCTTTATTTTTACTTGTTCCTGAACTATCTCTTGGTATTAATTTATTATAAATATCAAAATTAATGGTATCCTTATTTAAAATTTGACTTAATCGTTCATAAAACTTATTGCCGAATGAATTTTCTTCATTGATTTCTTTAGATAAATCATCTAGTTGAATATTTTTTAAATATTTTTGTTTTAATAATCGTGTCCATTGATGAGAAATAAATGGTAATATTATTTGTAAATCTTCAATAACATATGTAGAATTATCTTCAAATAAATTATAAAAATGATCCGAAGTTAAAACTGAATCAGATAAAATAAATGAACCATTTGAATCAATTTGTTGACCTTAAAAAAAAATCGTATTAGAAGACAAAAATATCATAAATAATCTTACCACAAAAAATAATCGAAACATGATAACAACTATTAAAATAATCCTTCAATACATTTACTACAGCATGAAAATTAGGTAAATAAAGAAATCCAGCAATTGAACCATTTTCAGTATTTTTTATTTGTCGATATTGTGAATCTATTCAGACAAAAAAAAAAATTGAAAAAAGAAATTGATTTATAAAATAATAATAACAAACCAATTTGAAATTCATCATTATGAACTAAATTATTGAAAAGATCTTCTATTTCATGAAATTTATTATTATCAATATGTTTAAATGCTTTATTAAGATAATGAAATATTTCGTCACGTTGTTGATTAGAAATAATATCGCCAAAAATTAGTAATATACCTACACTTGATTGTGTTTGTTCATTATTTTCAGTCATTGCTGTTGCCATTTGATCGATGAACAGACAAAAGTGTATATGAAAAAAAAGAAAAAGGTGACAGCTGTAACGAATATAATTATAAAGTAAGTGTTAATGTAGAAATGACTTTCTCAATCTTCTTTTTGTTTTGCTCTATTGTGAATTCAGAAATAATCATTGAGAAGAAGAAACAGAACGAAGGTATGAGATTGACGTTGAGTTCATAATTTCGGAAAGACTTATGAATCACTTCTTAGTACGATTGGTTGAAAAATAGATTTAGATTGCAGCGATTTATGTATGATTAACAGAATAATGAATTTGTTTTTATGGAATTGAGAGTGAATGATTAGTAGAAAAAAAATGCTCGGATGGAATTGCTCATAGATGACGCTACAATTTGGTTATTTATGGAACTAGAATTTTTACTAAATTTTACTGGATCTGGAGAGAGCGGTGAGATTACGCTGATTTTTTAGGACTTATTGAGCAAAAAAAAAATGCAGAAAAACAAAACTTTTCAAGATTGTTGAACCATCCTTTCGACCCCCGTCTTCTTGGTGCATCTTTGAAAGCACTACAATTAATCAATGTCTCTATGTAGTAATAAGGATATTTTACAGAAGATTGACACAATCTGCACAGCAGATAAATCTTGACTAAGAGAGTAAAATTTATCATAGACTCGTAATTCTCGAAAACTGTCTTCGATAAGATACTTGGATCACAATGATGAAAAATGATTTCAATTTTTGTCTCGATTTCTCTCAGATGTCTTGTTCGGTCGAACTAGAGATTTTGTTTTTTACAGGCACTGGCATCGTTTGTGGTGAATACCGTTTTATCTGTTTGTCTTTCGAATAAGACAAAATATCGAAAGTATTCTGTGAAAAAAAAACATGTTCTTTTTTGTATGACCTACCAAAATTCAGCAGAACGCTATTTCTTGAAATCAAAAAAGAAACTATTTATCTTGAACAGAGTATAGTATATACCGAAAAAGATTTCAGTTCGAGCGAACATACTAGACCGAAGAAATAGAGGTGGTTGCGCACTTTTTTCATAAAAAATTAGTTTGACAAAAATGCGATTCGATATTTCCATTACGTAAGTTTGTTTTTTCTTAAGGTCTAATAATAATGCTTTAATTCCAAAATGTCCTCAGACGATACAATGGCCACAAAAATTCTAAGTCATGAAAGAGGAGGAGACTATCCTTAAGAAATACATGAAATGCGAAACACTGCTGTGCATAATATTGGATTAATGAATGGTAATTGTTAGAAATGAAGTCTTCTCTTCCGATTATGAACGATAATTAAAATGTTTTCTAATGGCATAATGATTATACGTAAAAGATATATGTTTTGAATCCTGCAGAGAAATCAGCTAGTAGTCGTTCACTTACTCTCCAACTGTGACGAATGATGAAGTACTCGCACCCACATATGACATATTTTCTAGATACTGTATTGTTAGTACGGCATATTTTATTTTCAATAACGAAATTGCATAACATGACATTCTTTACGAAGATACTCATAAGATTTTTTTTCAACTTTTAATACGATAACATATAATTCAATTTGTTTGTAAGTTAATGTAGTGCATAGAAAAGAAGTAATTCTTGGCGCTTAGATGGTTGCTAGTGCTATATTGATATATTTTACATTCTAAGAAAAAGTTCAATAATTAATTGATTATGAAGTGTTGTGGAACAAGCAATAAATTACATATAAAAGAATGTGAATTTTTAAATGGAGTGGATGAAAATGAAGAATTTTTGTAAGTTATGATTTTTATTTTTAAATTTAAATTTTTGTTACTGTTTGTTTTTTAAAGAAATATAATTCAAGAATGTAAAAATGATGAAGGTTTAATTGATCCTGATATTTTAATTAAAAAAATGGAAAATTCTTCAAATGAACACATAAAACATAATGTTGATGCTGTACGAAAAAAATTAAAAAATTTATTACCAAATGATAAAAATGATCAAAAACATGTTTTAGAAGAAAATTTACTTATTAATACACTCAAAGGTGGTATGCAAGAAGCTATTGATAAAGTTAAATCATCAAGAAATAGTATTCAAAAATAAACTTTATTAAATTTTACGGATGTTGTTTGTCAACTATCTGTGTATTATCAATAAAATGATCTGCTTTTGAATGTATTTTTTCAAAGGATATTAAAATACCTCGTACGGTAACGTTCCTAAGTTATAACTCAGAAATATTTGTTGAACTGAAGATTATACTAAAATGATATGATATGAAAGAGTGATTCTGGATAGAGTGAATATACATATACCTGAAATATTTTTCTGTAGAAAACCGTAAGTATCTCGAATCATAATGTCAATATTATAATCATTGGTTATCATTCAATGAATTAGCAGAAATTTTTGTCAATTAATATATATTCTTGTATGCCTATTACATCATCATTTCATTTTCATTTGGTTCATATTAGCATTCATTTTCTGAATGATTTCATTTTTTCAGTACATAGTTATCAATAACATTATTGTTAAAGTACTGTATAAGTACAACTGTTCGTATTAGTAACCGACTCCAACAGGAATCATTTACTCGTGCTCATTCATTTTGTACCGGCGGGTGTGACTGTAGATGTGTCTGTTTATGTTCTGTATCTCTTTGACCATAACCACGCCCATCGACGTCGTCGACTTAATGTTGTTCGTGTGCACGGACACATTAACTATACAATTCACCGATACAAAAAATAATATCTTTTCGTAGTGGGTATCGTAACGTTGAGACGAGCGCAGATATCGACGTAGTCAGCGGTTCACCAAATACGGGTACTCATGTTATCAATGCTACACTAGACCATATGCTAGTGACTCACTTTCAGTAGTTCAATACTTGCACTCACGCTGTACATTTTTCATTAATAACGCAGCAGTAGTCGAAAGTTTCTAGGACGACAATCCTCGTAGCATTCTATGTTATTTTACGAATTTCTGGTTGGTTTCCTAAGACAACGATTTTTGGTATATTAGAGACTATGAGTTCTCATCGACTGATAACTTTCCAATTCATTCTTTTCTACTGGAAATAAATGTAGTGTGATACCAACAGCATCATGAAAAGAGAATATACTCTATGAGTGAAGAAAGAGAAGATTGTAAAAGTTATAGTCGGCATCAAAGCTCGTCCTGTGTATATATGGGTCTCATAAACAGAGGGTTAAGATCCGTATTGAGAGATGCAACTTGACGCTCTAAGTAGGAGGATGTAAGTGTCGCTCAGTGTGGATTTAGATCTTCTTTTCAGCAACGTCCACATCCGATATACTGTTAGTTTTTTATATCATAATAATTAACTCGCAAAAGATGAATCATGGTCTTAGAGTAGATGTTGTATAAATATACACATTTGGTTTTGCAAAATGAAATACCAAAGTAAGTTAAGTATGTAGACAAAATTGAGAAAAATCTTTTCAGATTTCTTGGAAAAAGAAACACGGGAACTCAGTATGTGTTTCCAGTTTTCGAAAACAGAAACTGGAAAGAGAAATCACTGATCTCTAGAACACGCTAGATCCTATAGATCCACATGCATCAAATCGTGTCAGTTTCGAATTATTTTTTAATTCTTGTTTTCAAAATTACCTTGAAATTAATTTGCGTTATTCTCTAATTCTTTAAGTATTTCATCATATAAATGAACAACGAGATCAGCAAAAATAGTTCTATATTCACTTAAATCAAAATTTCTTAATGCCTGTTCATTTTGTTTTGGAGTAGTTATAACTTGATATTTCTATTAATAAAATTATTTATTTTATTTATGATATAATATAATAAACATACCTCTTCATCACTTCTATTGTTATAATGTGTGAAGAAATCGAACTGTATTTTCCATTCATAATATTGGATAATCAATATCTTCATTTCTCAAAAATTATTTAACAAGAATTAAAATGCCTATATGTATTTTTACTCGTGGTATTTTTTTGATTATTTTAGTTACTGCTGATAAAAATCTAGCAACATGTGCTTCATCATCAAGACAATCAATATATCGAATACACATTGAAAGCATATATAAGCTGGAAGATATTTCACAGCTAGACGAGGTTGTAATACTACATATAGAAAATATATGTTAAAATTCTTGAGAAAAAAGATAAAACGAACTAAGAATTTATGGCATCAGTAATTCGTTCTGTTTCTTGTGAAATACATTTAATCATTCCACTAAAATGTCTTATACTTTGACGACGAACATTAATGTTTTCTGTTAGATTTGCTATCGTTGTTGTTCCTAATGACATTGAATTAAAAAGATCAACTTGACCAATAAATTGAGAAATACCATTCGTTGGACTATTTTGAAGAACTTTTCCCCAAGATACATTTTATATTTTCGAAAAGTATACAATACATCAAATAGAATTTATTATCTATATGAATCAACAAACAAAATTTCATTGACGAGAAACAATTTCAAGTAGTTCGCGAATTATATTGACATGAAGGGTAGATCTGAATGACATTTGGAGAAAATTGAAATAGCATCTGCTCATGATTATATCATTCTTGAGATACGATTGTCGTTATGTCGAAATATAATAAAAACATTGTCATGTTGTCTAGTCGAATATCGAGAACAGAATCTTATTCGATGAAGTAACGGTATAGAAAGAACTTTGAGCACTCGAACATTATCCACTTCTCGTTTTGTTCATAGTACTAGGTTGAAAGAATACTATTGATGATTTTGATGAAGATGAATTGCTAGATGTTTAAATAAAACCCAAGAGCTGACAAGGCATACTTCTATACGTCTCTATATTTCTTCATACTACCCCATATTGATTTGAACTTCTTCACACTTTTCCATGTGCGCTCTCGCTCATAGATGGTGTTGCTTATTTCTTTGCTCAAGAGATACTAAGAGTAATATATATAATCCTTTATAATATATATAACTTTTATTTAAAAAAATCTGACAAAAACATTTTTTTACACTAGAATATTCAATAAGAGAAATGGTCTATGTACGCAAGGAAGAAAAGGTACGTAATTGTGTACTTCTTAGCATTTCAGAGCTACAGTAGTATACCTTTTCTTCATTAATAAAACCAAAAAAAATTCTTTATTCGAAACATATTTGAATGCAGTTAATAATAGGTTCAGGAAAGTTTCTTTATCGAAATCAAATCAATGAATTTTCTTCCTACATTAGGCGATACAGCATTCTGGCATTTAAAGAAAGTACATTCTAAAACAGTTGTGCATTAAAAACGATATATCATGATCACAAACAGTCTCTTCTTGATCTAATTACAGTATTAATACGAAGTTATCATTCGCGAGGAAGTTGAAATAGTGCTCTTGTAAGATTATTAATATTCTACAGAATGAGGAACTCTTTCTTATTATTTATTCATAAAAAACTGTAATGAACTAACGCATAAAAAGTTACCTATTGAAAAACTATTATTAACAAGTTTGATAATATGTTTCAATTTTCGAATTTCATCTTGATTATGTTGAATTTGTTGATGAATTTTCTAAAAGAATTAATTTATTGATGTAAATAAATAAGAAACTAGAAAATAAACACAGATAAGATTGTCAAAGACAAAAAAGATAAAATGAAAATAAAAAAGAATATTTTTTTATTTGTTAATTTGTTTTTGACTTTAATATGCTTGCTCAAATGCATCAGTTGCACTAACATCATCACTTTCAATTTCATGTTGCATAACACAATCTTGAAATTTTGATTTCATTTCAATTTGTTCACAACGGTGATGTTCTAATTCAGTGTTTAATGCCTCAAATTGAACTTAAATAAAATAAATAATTCATGAAAAAGAAATAGATTTTACCAAGTAATTGTTCTCTAGCCGCTTGTTCATCACCTTTAAGTACATGTTCTCTTAATACTTTCAAATCATTTTTTAATTTATCTATTTCTAACTCATCTAAATGTCATGACGAATTTTTTTGTGTTTCTAACTAAGATGAATTTATAATTCAGTTTTTAAGTTCTTCATTCATTGTTTTATTTTCATTTTCTAATTGCCTAAGACGTCATTGAAGACGAAGTAGAAGACCAGCACCACCACTTGTTTCACCAATATTTTCTAATACTTCATTTGTTTGTGTAGTTGTTAAATGACCTTGATGACTATTGATTGTAGATGAATGAAGTAAAGAAGGATGACAAGGAGTTAAACCATCATTGTTCAATGGTGCTTCATCCTAATACAAAAGTAAATACATGCATTAATCTCTATCATTATCATTAATAGATTGATCCACATAATAAAAATAACTCTATACATCAAACCAGAACAATATTTTGAGACTCAAAACTAACTATTTCTTTTTATATACTAACCATATAAAAATCATTGAATAAAGGAAAGGTTAATTATGTATTTTCTAGATGAATAAATGTTAATTCCCTTTAGTAAAAATAGGAAAAAAAACAACTAAAACAAGTTTTTCCCTTGTTCTCTCTCTGTTCTGATTACCTGTGAGGATTTATTAACCTAAATTCCCATATGTAAAATCTTAATCAAAACATTAATCGATATCTTAATTAAATTAGAGAATCTTTTTCTAGATGAAGCGATATAAAAATCAAAGATCATTTGATCAAGATAAAAAGAATATGCGATAGATAGGAATAACATAAGTTGATGATCATCAGAGTCAAAAATTCATCTTAACCGTCTGATGAATTACAGCTTCCTATTATCAGTAGAAGTGTAAGCACATAAGGTGGGAATATGTGTGCGGATGCCTAGAAGATATATACCCACATCCAAAACTATTCACGAAACTGCCTAAAGTTTATTTCATATTGCACATTGAAATAGTTTAGATTTATTTACTATTTATGAAAAAATATTTAAAAACAAAAGAGTAAAAAATTAAATAAATCAATCAATTAAGATAACTTGTTTCTATTCAGACAAATATAAAAATGTGTTGATAATCATTAATAAATAAACTTGAAAAAAATATTTTATTAAATGATTTAATAGTTATTCTTATTTCATTCAATGATTAATTCTATTTACATTCTATAAAACAATTTCAAATATCGAATCTTATTTACTTATGAGAATGAGATATATTCAGTGATGGATATTTTTTATGAGAATAATATTCATCTTTATTTTTTTTTCCAGATTGAGTAAATCGAGTTTAACTATTGTTTTTTTCTTTTTCTTTTTAAATTACTAACTTATTTAATAAACTCATTAAAATTTATTTTTGGAAATAATATTCAGTTTAATTTATAATCTAATTATAAGTTGACAATTAATATTTTCTGTTAGAAGCTTTTTTTTCTAAGCAACTTAAAATTTTTTTATTTCGAACAAGTAAATAAAACTGAAGAATTTTGTGGATAAAAAGTTTCATAAGGCCTCCCTCTCCCCCCTCAAAAAAAGTCACTTTTCGTCAGAATAATCGAAATTGAAATAAACACAAGGAAAGATAGCTCGTGATCTGATCTCTCATAAACGACAACTACTTTAACTCGGCACCTCCTTTTTGCCAAAAATTTTTCAAGATTTCCATCATCCTCTATTCGAAAAATAAGCCATTTCTGAAAAAAAGCCGAAATTGTTTTTCGTTTTCTCTCAGTTCATCATATCTGGAACACGCTACCAAAATTTCTCAGTCCAGATCCATGTGATGTATTTAAATTTTTTTCTTGGAAAGAGCACGTCAAGATGCAGTGCACCTGGTTTCGAAAAAGATCTTTATGGACGTAGTTGTAATCGATTAAATCTTATGTTCTTGTTCCATATGTATAGTATACAAATAAATATTATGTTTGTGCTATTGATCTTGATGAAAAACATGAATTAGCTATTGATTGGATGGGACGAAAATTATATTAATTGTTGGGTACATCGGAAATTCGTATTAGTGAATTAGGTGATCATTATAGTATAACATTACTTAATTCAAGATATTTATCACAACAAAATTATCTGGCTATTGATCCATTACTTGGTTTTTTATTTTATTCAGATTGGAAGAATTAATTCAGATGGAAATAATTTTGTACAATTATTGGTATTGATGTAGCTGAACCATTAGGTTTAACAATTGATATTATTACTCAAAGAATTTTTTCGATTGATAGACGTTTACAAAGATTAGAGTATGTTGATATTTAAAAAAAAAAATTCTTATTTTTCATAGCATAAAAACCTATGATGTATTTATTATTAAAGATAAAGTAAAAGATAGAATATCAAGGATAAATTTTTATTTTTATTTATTAGAAAAGTAAAGAGTATTGTAAATAATACATTAAATCTCTTTTCAAGTTTGCCATGTTGCCGATTCCAACCAATTATGGATAGAATTTTCATGTTCGACAAAATTATACGTTTGACGAGCAAAGTACTCCAATTGAGTAATGGCTGTTGAGGTCCGACCTATGCGCATTATGTAAGCCCAAACGAGCTTTGGATATCAGGATAAGATTTCGGACCTTTAGAGCTTATAGGTGAGTAGATATTAAGAATTTATGGTCGTTTTTAAATTTTCCTCTCAGAAACATCAGAAAAATTGATTTTTGAATTCCTACTTGAAACTTTATACAAAGACAAACTCTTTTGAGTTACTTCTATCCTGAAAAAAGAATACTGGATCTACTGTTATATATGTGAAATCTAAACAATACGCTTTTATCATAGCTGTATTTTAAGTAATTCACGGTTATCATGCCGTGATCGTGACTGAATTTCAGTGATGGTCGGTAGAATAGTTACACGATTACTTTTGTATGCAATGAGTGATGTACATAGAACATGCATAGAATAATAACAATGCCAAAAGAAAGTGAAACTTTAGATGCACAGCCCTTTTTGTTTTGTTTTGAGAATTAAATCAGGAATGACTTTGTTGAAGATCAATTATATTCAATATCTCTTTGAGAAAATCTTTCGAGTTACAGCTGAATTGTTCATTATTTATTTGATTAGATAAATTTTGCTTTTTTTATTTCGCTTGAACACATTTTTAAATTAGTCTTTGCTCAGACGCCATCTACGCATAAAAAAAATGTTTCTTCTGTCGTGAAATACTTATGATCACAAAGAATATCAAGAATTCATTTTCATTTTTCGTCGACATCGAAGATTATATTCACAACGAAAAATGATTTCGTTATGAGTTTGCTCACTGTTGATAAGCATGTAACTTTAGTTGCCGAAAGCGAAGGAAAATTTCTTTACATTCTAGTTAATCTGGCTCAGATTTGTTGTATAGCTATACTCCATGTATAATGAAGGATTTCTACTTGAAGCGGCTGCCAATGTATGGTACTCATACAAAACACAATATTTCCACAAATACGTTTTCGAAGCGTGTTTGATTAAGAAAATGTTGTTATTCGACTAAAAATATTGAGTTTGTGCAAGTTTTTTTTACGCCCTGCTCTCAATTCGATGAATGAAGAAAATTGTTTTTGACGTAGAGAATAGATTTAGCAAAGCGCATTGAACTGTCACACCCACATCCATTTATCCAAAGAATGGAAATCATCGCTTTCGTCAATCTATCACTGAGAACATATCTGCTAACAGACTGCTGCGGAATATACAATTTGTAATATATTAAAAGTCAATAATTGATGCTTTACAATGATGAGAAAACTATTTGTTATTGGTTTTTTTTCCTTGTTTATTAATCAACGTCGAAACTAAGTTCATATACAAACAAGACAAGCTCTTTTCACTACAACATAAACAAACTACAGAAAAGAAGAATTGCGTATTCTTTCAGAAAGAGAATATCGCATATATACATATATAAAAAAGAAAAAAAATTAAACATTTATGAAAATCGATCAAGTCAACTTTTGAGATGACGAACGATATTTAATAATATTAAAATCATTCTCATCAATAATATTATCTTCATCATCAATCATTTCAACAAATGTATCAGCTGTTTCAGCTTCATTTTCATAATCTATATCATCATCATAGTGTTGTTTTATATCATAATTTGAATTATGTAAAAATTCTTTTTTATTTATTGATGAATCCATATAGGATGAATCATCATAAGAACTTTTTGATGATCTTCGACGATTCTTTTGTAATTGACGAGCACGTGGTGTTGGTTTGTTTGATATATAATCATCAGCTGTTTCAAAATCATCATAACCATCTAAATAAAACAAAAATAAAAAACTTTTTTTCCTAAAAAATATATAAAATATTCAAACAAACCTCTTTCAATTTTAACGATTAATGGTGAATGATCAATATTTTGATTTTGATTACGAAATTGTATAATAGCCATTTGTTCATCTTCATCTCGATGATTAATATCTTGTTGAACTTGATTAACATCAATTAATTGTTGTTGTTGTTGTTCTTGATGATGTTGTTCATAATCATCTTCAACATCTTCTTCATCAATAATAGTTGAATTTTTCATAGCTTCTGTATCAAATGGATCAATATGATGTACATCATAATGATGACGTTCAATAGCACGCATATGTGTAAATTTATTTCGACATATTGAACAACGATAAACTGTTTCACGTCTTCGCATTTGTTGTTTTATTGGTGATGTTAATAAATTTGATGAACGCTGAGATTTTAATGATGATAAATATGGTCGTTGACGTATTGATAAACCACCAGCAGGCATTTTTGCATATATACCACAACGATGAACTTTTGTTACATGTTGACGAAGATCACCACGAGTTGCATACATTAAACCACATTCATTACATTGAAATGTTCGATCATCTAACATTTTAATAAGAAATTTTTATTCACATCAGAACTAATATATAATACGTTAATTATTTAAATAAAACTTAGGAGAAGGGATTGAATGCAATATGGGAAGGTATATTTGGATACTTTGTTGTCGAGTGTATAAGCTACGGATACGTCGAGTCCGGCATTTTATTTTTCTCGGCTCTGGTTATACATTTTTTTTGGACCCGCAGTTCTCTGCTAGTGTAACAATCTATTGTCGAGCAGTATGTTGCATTTTAACAAGAAAGAAAGTTTTCTCGAAGTTCATGTTTAGGAACAAGATTTTCTCTGGTGAATTAGTTCTGAATTGTGATACTTGATCATAATTCTTCCATGAATAATAAATATTAAGGTGGCCAAAAAAGGTGTTAATTATATATAAACAAACATTTACACGAAGAGATAAAGGACAAACCTTTTTGGATAAATGTGAGTTCATTTCTTAAAATAAGTAACTTTTCTGTCAACAAAAAAAAAAAACATCTTTTTGAACTCTAAGTTAAAAGAATGTTTTAATGAAATAGAACTATTTCCGAAATTTGAATCTTACAATAGTCATTCTACAATTTAACATTGTTTTATAGAATATGCCAAGAGTTGTTTTAAGCAACCGAGTTTCGTAAGTCTGGTATAAATAAACAAATAAGTATTTTTCAGTTTAAAATTCTTGAATATTGTGGTTTCTATTAAATCTAATTTATTTTTAATTGAAAGAATTTTCCAAAAGCCTGAAGAAATTTCTTAGAATTTTTACGAGCCTAGAAATGTTGTTGACCTCAGTATTTTTAAGTTTTTCCGCTGAAAACAAATATCCGCGCCAGAGTTAAACAGAAGTGAAAGTTCAAGAACTTGACAACGGCAACAGTTAGCGACCTGCAGTTTTCAGCACACAAAAGAGAAGAACTCTGAACGTCTTTTTATCTGTTACTATTGAAGACAAAATTATTTTAAAAACCATTATCGTTGTAAAACATTCAAAAAAAACATGAAAATAGTGTTTCAATTTTTAGGAAACATCGATAAGTCATGTGATTTCGTGTGTTCAATATTGAGATATGAAACGATAATCACCTAAATCATAGATCTAAGGTCTCTCTATCTGAATCACATGTCAAAATGAAATTTAAATCAAAACGAAACACCATTTTCATGCACTTGTTTTAAAAAGACAATGGATATTAAAATAATTTTATTTGTTATAGTACCAGACAAAAACACACCTGCAGATCTTTGGTCTCGATTGCTGAAAACTACAGGTCATTAACTGTTAACATTATCAATTTATTACGATTACATTAACCGCTCTTAAATTCTGCAGACGGCATATTTTGATATAAGTATACTAATTAAAATTGTAACACTTATGAGAAAATAATTATGCAAAATAGGTCTTCTATTATATCCGTCCCATTGTTCGTCTAAAAGATGGAGTTTACTTTATTAAAACTGAAGCCCATCTGTTTAGCGATAACTCTATATTTACAATCCTACTATAATGAAAACCTCGACAAACCTCGATGTTGTGAATCCATATGATCATCAAGTATATCTTGTGAAAATGTTTTATATGTACACAATGAACAACTAAGTTGAACACGTGGTATATTAAAATTATGATTAGGATTATTATTATTATTCATTCCATGATGAATTTTTTTATGTTGATTTAATTCATGTCTAAAACAAAGTAATAAAAATAATTTTAATATTGATAAAACAAAAAATGTTGTAAAAATTCATACGGATCAGCAAATTCTTGATCACATTTAAGACATGTTACAAAATCTTCATCATTAGCATGTTTTTTTAACATATGTTGCTTAAGATCAGCTTTACGTGTTAAAACTGTTGGGCAATATGTACAATGAAATTTTTGTGCATTTGTTTCATGTGTTAACATATGAGCTTTTAAACTGTTACTTTGTGTAAAACGAAATTTACATACCTATCATTTATTGATATTATTATAATTATATTTTATTTTTAAAATATAATAAATTAACTTACCGTGCATTGATATGGTCTTTCACCTTAAAATGAAAAGAATATAATAGGAATACAAAAAAAGAAATGAAATATTTTTTTTACCGGTATGAACACGTAAATGTCGTTTAAGTTTAAATGTATCCGGACTACAATATGAACAATGCGGACATGAATACGGTTTTTCCTGAAGAAAATAAAATTCAATATATTAAGTAAAACAAAATGTTTTAAATACATACGCCTGTGTGTGTTCGAATGTGACGACGAAGTTTACTTAATTCAACTGTCGCATAACCACATTCTTCGCATTTATGAGGTTTTTCAAGTGTATGTCTTTAAATAAAAAATAAATAACATTAAAAAATCATTGATTTTTTTACGATTATAAAACAATAGAAACGACCTTAACAACTGTTTCTTATCGTTTTATTGTAAACTCGTATTTAAGGAGTAATAGGAAAGTCTAGAATGACTTGATTTTTTGGGCTTCTGTTTGTTGAGATATCAACATTTTACTCGATTCTTCAAACAAACAGTTGTTGTCTTCCACAGATCACTTTCAAGTTTTGACTTCAAACTTTGCACAAACAAAGTTCTTAATGAGGTTAGTTGACTGTGGAACTAGTGTTTCCTTTCCGAAGATATAAATATATACACAAAATGTGGTTTTACACATGAGTTTCGACGTAATCTGCGAGAACTACAGTCTTGGTTGAAAAATTTACTAAAATTTTGAAATCTCAACAGCAAAGGTCCAGATAAAGGAAACCACTCTAGGCCTTTCTATTACTTATCAGATAAATCTTGTCTCAGTCGAAAAGCGATTTGATATCTGAAGAGGCTCCTTCATCTGTATAAAACTTCATGATTAGAGTTTTGTTATTTGTAGCTACTCAAGATTTTCTTGAATACTTTAGAGTGCGATATTAGGAAATGATGTTCTTGAGAATTTGTCATTATAAAATGTCTAACTACATGATAAAAAAATAACAATATTCATGTTAAACACTTTATTAGAACTAACAACTAGTCAGAAAAGCATTCTACGTACATTCTTAAATAACTTTCTATCGATAAGAGAGAAACCTGTAGTTTTTTTTTTTTATGATGTTCCATATTGGCGAGACTTTAGCAATAGAAATGAATGATTTCTGTTCAAAATCAACAACAATGATTCCATAGTTATAAAATGAAGATCAAGATTAACAATTGGGATCATCCATCCAAGTAATAAAACACCTTATTTTAATCCGCAAATAGACACGTTTGCAAGGATCTAACCGTATCTAAACTCCAAAAATGACTCATGTGTCCAAGAAGGAATTCATAACAAGTTTTCAATCTTACACAAATAAGATAACAGCATAACTGCAAGAAAAATCTAATCAATAATAAATTCAATTGTTATGTCATTCATTATGAATTGATTATTTATGGTTCATTTTCCATTTTTTGCAGTGAAATAATTTCGTTCAAACTATTTCGATGGTTTACTGAACATCAAATCTACTGAATTAATACCAAAGGATAAAGGATTAACATTAAGATTTATCTATTAATCCTATACTAACTCTTAAAACACAATATTCGAGTAATACATCTCAAAGTTCTTTTAAATTCGGCATTTCTACTTAAAAATTTAATTCAAAGTTTTAATTGAAAAAGAAATTCGAATCTCTATGAAAATAATTAATCATTCAATAATCGATACTTACTTATAGCGTACATGACGAATTAATTCTCCACTTGTAGTAAATTTATATTCACAAAATTTACACTAATAAAAAACAAGATAGAATTTAATTATCCAAAATAAACTTGAAATTAATCAAAAAAATATATTTACCTGAAATGGTTTTATACCAAGATGAGTATTAACATGATTTTGTAATTGTGCTGTTGTTTTAAATGTATTCGAACAATAAGCACCTACAAAAAAAAAGTCATTTTCAAAACAAAATCAATAATTTATGTTTTTTTTATCACTTACATTTATGTGGTCGTTCTGTTGAATGAGATTTCAAATGACGTTGAAGAAGATATTTCTTACCTGTACAATAGTTACTGAAAAAAAAATTATATAATTTAATTTATACAAAAAAAAGCAAAAACTCTTTTTAATTAAATTTACCAATAAGGACATAGATGTTTTTCATCTCGACGAACTTTAATTGGATTTTTTGTTGAATCACGTGAAATATTATTTCCAAATGAATCAATTGTTGGAAGTTTTTTACGATTTGATGCTTCACTGAATTCATAAACTGATGCATTTACATCGGGGCCTGATGGACTTAAAGTAACATCAACTGGCGTAACAGTTGAAAAATCTTCTTCATGTTCAGCATGCCATTCAACATCATCATCATGTATCGTTTCACGTTTTGAAGGTCGTCCGCGACGTCTTTTAACAATACTGCTATTGGTATTATTTTGACTAGTGTGTCGCTGTTGCTCTTGTTTAATACGCGCCACCGGCAGTTCGTCGATGTCGTCGTCATCATCATCGTCGCCCTGATCGTCTTCAAACGTATGTTCATCATAATCAGGATCATCAGCAAATTTAACATTTAAACTTGATCGTGATCGTGTTGAACGACGAATTCGACTTGTCATTATTGAAATGTTAGAAGTTTATTTTTTAATTTGTATTTGTTTATTTTTTAATTCGTATGAGAATATGAAGTAATGAGTGTGGAGCCACTAAATCACTAAGGATAGGTGGCACCCTGAGATAAACGTCACTGTTGGTCGAACAACACAACAGAGGTCATTGTCTGTCTAAAGATAACCAATTAATTAATAGATGATAGATTAATATAGATTTTTTTGACAAATATATTTTAGATTTTGTGTTATTATTTTTATTTTTGAATAAGAAGATTTATAAATAATTAAATTTATTATGAACAGAAGATGTCACTAATACACAGAGTGGAATAACTCAGGAAAAAAAATTCATTCCATTGCGTCTTCGATTAGAATAAAGATTTATATTTTTATTTGAAGTTGTTTTTTAACGACAAGAAACGATGACTGAAGAAATAATAAGATGAAGAACAATTACTATGCTTCTTTAACGTACGTCTTCTATGAAAAAGAAAGTTTTTAGCAGTTGATTTATAGCAAGAATGAAATCGTTAACGATCGGAATTTGTATTTTTATATTTATTGTTAAGTAAACAGAAATACTTTTAATGAAATTAAAACAAATAGTAAAAAAAATGAAAAACAAGAAAATAATATAAAAGTATTAACTACGGTCACTCAATATCATATTTAAATTGTTCATTGAAAAGAAGAATTGAATTTGTGATGTAAATTGTCTTAACTCAATTTAAATATGAGCTTAGTCATGTGGTAGATTTCATGATGTTGGTTGAGTAATTATTACAATTGATTAAGCAAAAAGAGCATTGTTAACCATTTGTTCAGGTAGCAACCCCATATGCTGAACAGGACAATGATTTCGTAAATACCAACAAAAAAGTTTCATATTACTCGTAAAAAAAACTTAGATATAAATAAATATACTTATGAGTATTATTTATGGTTGCATTAGACATAGCTATAGTATGAATCAGAGATGGCAGATTTGAGAATCGGATTCCAAAAAGTCTCTCTACTTTCAACTCATTAACTCGGAACAGTTCACTGATTAGCTTATTTAACAAAATAGACATTATTATCAACGAGGCATAGTAGATTAGTTTCACGCAATGTTATTCTTCATGTTTTGCGTTCTTCTTTCATCGCGATAGGAAAACAAAAAATACAAGAGCTCTTTCGTACCGATTGCTTCATTATTTATCTAGATTTCTAATGGTAACACAATTAATTCTTTGCTTGAAAAGAACCGATATTATTGCACCTTCATGATGCTCTGGAAACTCGAGATAACATTCACATCTTTCAAAAAAAAAATCTAGGAAATAAAAAGAACCAAGATTTGAAATACGAGGAGCATCTAATAAATCCTCAAAGTATGAAAGCCATCTTTTTCTCCTGAACATCATTCCCTTCTTTCACCATTACCGTTTTTTCCACTATACATCTATAAAGGATTCTTTCTAGAGCATAAAGATAGTACAGCCGTTTAACATATTGACAATATGAAACATTTAAATATAGGCTTTATTTCAAATGCTATCGAAAACATAGGTGTTTTTTGCTTACGAAAAGATTGTCGATTCATTGATGATATTTATTTTTATTACTCATCAAATGAATAATGAATGAAAAAGATTGACGAGTACAAACGATCTTTGGTAAATTTTAATTCATATATTTATAATATTTATCCAGATTATGAGATGATAGTTTAACATTTGCGAATAGACATACGTACAAAGTTCGAATTTAAAGATCAACAAATAGAGCGGACTAATTGAATGAAAACAGATTCGTACTTAAAACAATTTGAATAACAAACTCCGAATTACGAATTTATTTTTGTCATGCACACACAAAAAAAAATATGTATTTCACAGATGTAAAAGAAAAGCAGTTATATTATTCTGTCTTTTCTTTTTGTAATAATGATGTTTGAATATCTAATTTTAATTGTTTAATTTGTTTACGGGCTGTTTCGATTTGTTCTGCAGTTTTCTTTAATTTTTCTTCTTCGTCTTGCACAAATCGACTATAATATGAGTTAGTATATAACATATAAACAAAAACAAAGACGATTTTCAATAACTCACGTATATGGCATGATCAATTCACGCATTTTACGTTCATGATTATCCAATTCATGTAAAAAATGCTTTTGTAATTGTTCAGTTAAATCCATACGTGTTTTATCAATGCGATCTTTCATTTCTTGTTTTATGGTTAAACGACGCATTGGTATTAAGTAAAAACCAAATATACCAATTAAACTAGCACCTAAAAGACCAGTCCAATCAAATGATGCTAAGGTGGCTAAAGCCCCTATAGTTAAAAGAGATATAAAAACAAGTGAATTGTGATAGAAAAAGAAAGCGGTCAAACCAAGTCCAACAGCTCCGACTTCAATAGCTGCTGTTCCTAACATTGTCGAACGAACTGACGCGGAAAGTTCATCTGCTTGTGCACCAGTTGCTGTTTTTTGTTGATAAAGAATCTTTTTAACAAAAATTCGTTTAGAATTATGAGACAAAACGCAAACAAGTATTGCTTTACATTTTGACATTGTGTTTGTAATTGATTAAGTATTTGTTGACGGGATATTGAAAAGTCTGCATCAACTCCCGATGTCATATTATTACTGGTATGTTTAATAATTTGTTGTTGTCTTCGTGAATGAATTGAATTCGTATTAAGATGTTTATTAAGTTGATGAACAGTTCGATTTGATCTTTCAACAAGCCAATCACATAGATGACTTATACATTGATTAATATCTTGTTCAATATTTTTATTAACACGATTATTAAATTGAACTTTTAATTCTGATGAACTACTTGTACTAAATAATGTCGGTATAAGACGTGAAATTTGAATATATTCAAGTAAAAATTCTTCCATATTATCAATCATACGAAAAAAGATATTATCAATTTTATTTGATTGAAGTTTAAAATCATCTAACATTTGTCGACGATATTCATCAACATCACCATGTAAAAGAAAAAGTACCTAGAATAAGAATTCGTAAGAAAAAGAATCTTTCTTTTTTATCTTCATTTTACTTGTTCATCATCAACAAGAACTTGTTTTCTTTCATGAACAATTGCTAAATATTTATCAAATAATCGTTCGGCTATACCGAGTGGATTTTCAAGTTTTATTTTAAGTTTTATCTTGTCATTTAATTCTGTACGTAAATAATCTTCTAATTGTTTTATACCAATAGATTTCAATGAACTTATTGGAAATATTGGAACAGATATATCATCAAGTACTTGACGAGCATTCGTACGTACATAATTTACAATTTTTTCTTTATCGGTTTCTTGTTGAATTTGATCAATTTTATTTAAAATAATTAAAACTTTTTTTCTCCATTCATGAATACGTATAAGAAATAAACGCTAATCAAATTAAAATTTTTATTATAAACAAGATACTTTTAAAATAAACAACATACTTCACTTTCAGAAAATGGTCGATCAACACTGGTAACAAATAGAATATAATCCGATCGTGGTATGAAATGTTCTAAATAAGATTTGCTATTTGTTCAATTAATCTTATGAGGAAACATTCTCAGATGTTGTCTCCCAATTTTAATGAATTTTCGTCTATAGAAATACTTTGTAGAATCCACAGACAAAAAATCATTGAAACTGGAAAGAGATATCTAAGAACGTTCTCTCATTAGTGTAATGCTTTTTTTACTGTTATCATTGAACATATCGAACTAGAATTTCAACTTCTTAATAGACTATTCGATGTTTTTTTTGTTGCATCATTTGAGCTCTCCAAGAACAACTATTATCATTATAAAGAATATTTTTCTAGAAAATATCATCAAAATAACTAAAGTAATGTATCGAACTGATGAACTCAATAACTACGTGGTATCGACGTTATAATACAGAAGCTTTGAAGTACCTGCCGCAAGTCGTCAGAATATGACGATAGTCTCATCCATAGATGATTTTAGTTATTCTCCAATAAGAATACATTTCGAGAAAAGCTTTTAAAGTGTTCGGTCTATTATGTAATTATTAAGATCTAGCAATTTCAATGTCACAAAAGATGAGAAAAAGCGAGTAAATGATTCTATATCTGCAAAGTTACGACTATGTATCAGTATTTTATCCAGCATGATGTCCGAGAGGGTGGCATCCTTTCGAAGATCAGGTTGGCTCTCTCAAATATTTTGGTTATTCTATCACGTACTATGTATCTGTGATTCAAAAAATAGATGTTTGCCTTTTCGGAAGAGAAAATCTGGATAAAACACTGCTTGGTATGAACAATCCTTTATGTATTTTGTTTGCTCTCGCCTACAATACTAATCAACAGATAGTTAAAAAGAAATGGATCTGACTATAATTCTCAAGTGAAGTATTCCTTGTTGACGTCCATAAAGTTACTTCTTGAAGTTTATTATGTTATTTGATAAATACCTGTAATTTGTTGATGTGTTTGAAGAATAGCATTTGTACCAGGTGTATCAACGATATTCGTTTGTCTTAACCATTCATTTGGCAAATATATTGATTTAACATGATCAGATTCGATAACATCTTTACGTTTTTTTCCATATTTAAGTATTTGAATGACATCAGTGGTAGGTAAAACACCAGTTGGACATATTTCTTCTTTTTCACCGAGTAATGTATTTATAAATTGTGATTTACCAGAATTAAATTCTCCAACAACAACAAGTAAAAATATTGAATCAATATTTGTTTGAGCTTCATTAAGAAGTTTCTTATCAGGAGCAGATAAAAGTGTTAAGTCACTTTGAACATGAATTAAAAGATCTTTAATGCGTTTAACAAGTTCATGATGACTACGATCGAGTAATGGAAGATTGGGATTCTTTAGAGAGAAGATAAAAATATTGGTTTTAGATTAAAATTATAATCAAACAAAAAACATAACTATTGCCACAAATCTTCTTTTCTATCGTGATGACTCTGATATTTATCATTCAAATAAAAAACTTATTTTTCGTTTATTTAGTACCGTAAAATTACATATGAACTAGTGGCGTAATCATAAAAAAGATTTAGGGAAAGGCTAGGAGCCGAAATGTAGAATTTTCGTTCTCGAAAACGGCTTTCTTTTGCACAGCAGTGATTGCATACTACTCAGAAAATCACTTCTGAGAAAAAGCAAACTTTTCGGTAAAAAACACCTGAATAGGAACCTGTCGAAATGTTTTGGTTAGAAAATATCATGTGTCTTACATCATCCAATGTAATTTCGCATCCTGATCCTAATATATCGTTGATTTTCAATAGAAATATTTTGGAGCTTAAAAAAAAAGAAGTTGACCAGAAAAGCCAAGGCATTTTGAAAAATCTGTCATATGGCTCAGAAGTGTTGATGTTAACTTCATGATAGAGGATACAGAATAGAACATTCTGACTCTTTGGGTTGACGCCAGGTGTTGAACGTTTGTTTTAACGAGCTTAGTTACCTAGAAAATTAGTCAAGAGAAAAGCTTTTATGTTTTTTCCTTAAAAACCACACGTTCAAATTAAAAGATTTCGTCGATCATCGATACCAAAATATATATAGATTCAGAATGTCTACTTTGCGTGCTTATCAGGCGATTTAATTTTTATCAAAAATTGATTTTCTCATCTTTATTATGAGCTTTCCAGGTTTACTTTTGAATACGTGCTGTTTCTCTCTACTTAAAATTCGTAGCAAAAAGTTTTATGCAATTAGAGAAACCATGTCTCACAGTATACTTATCACTATTTCAATTAGTGAAAGACTGACTTTCATGTTTACACCTAATATCCATCTGGATGCACACTGTGAGGACTCAGCCCTCTGAATACGTTTCTGTAGATAGAGCCAAGACTTTTTATTAACACTTCTCAAGTGAAAGGGCGAATGAGCCTCCTTTAGCTCTCGTTGAGTTGTACCACTAATATGAACCTCAGACGATCGAATTTTGTTATATCACTAGTTCTTTCTACCGGTGTCCTGTATGGGTACGACTTTTCACAATCGAACCCGAACCGGCACTCTTTTTTTTTTATGCGCGAGCCCAAACCGAATCTTCACTAGTAGGAATCAATAATACACTATCATTATTATATTCCTCTTGAAAAGTTCTCTTATGAATTATTAATATGATTTGTTAATGTTTGATGTTGAAAACATTGTTATTCTACTTACAACATTCGAATCACTCAAATGAGATAAAAATTTTCGTTGATGTATAATAATTGATCGTAGATTAGAATAATTATTTAAACGACATCGAATAATTTGTTGTCGACATAGAGATAAACATAATGACATACTGTATTTAATTCTTTTATATTATCCGAAAGAAAAAAACAAAAAAAAAGATAAAGAAATTATTTAACAAAAAAACAAATTCAATGAATTTTATTTGTTCAATTCATTCAAAATCATCTATTTTAAGGAGCAAAAAAAAGAATCATATGGAAAGATTATTTGATCAGATTATTTGCTTTTTCCAACAACGGCCGGAGATACGTGAGATCATTAGATTTTTTTCAAGGAATATCTGACAGATACATAATATACTACTGACTAAAAAAAAAGAACAGAATACGAATGAGCCAAACAAAGTCGTGAATAATAATACTAATATGAAAAGAAAAAACGAAAACGAAATGTTTTTTATTTACACACTACTTTCATGTAGTATGATTTGATTTGTATCAAGAGCACCATTAGGAAAATCAGTTGAAAATGTTGATGATGATGATGATGATGATGAAGATGATAATATTTCTGAACGATCTTTTCTTGATATAACAGGTGATGTTGTACTTGATGATGTTGCTGTTGTTGAATCACATGTTGAGGATTTAAGTGAAACACTACCTTCATCATCTTCGTCAATATATGCAACATGCGAATGATTACCATTAATTGGTTTTTTCCAAATAGATGGTTTTTCTTTTAAAGAATTTTCTTGTTGAATTAAATGAGAATTTTTATTTAAATAAACATATGTTGCATGACGTTCTTCAGTTGATGGTGATGGCATAACACGATACGAATTTCTTCCAGTATTTAAATCAATCATTGGACTTACATGACTATTTGTTATTATTGTTGATGAAGAATTTATTGTAGTTGGATTTGAAAGAAGTTTATTTGTACTTGGTGAAGAAAGGCGTATGATAGGTAATGGACGAATAATTGCCTGAGATGGTGACGCTTGTGGTCGAGGTGATATTGGTAAATTTGATGGACGAATAAATGGACGTGGTGAAGCAACAGAAGGTATATGAAACTATATGAAGAAAGAAAGAGCATATTTGAATGACTATGGGAGTTCTTTCTTCTTAAAAGACTTACTCGTGCATTGCCATTTTGTATTATATGAGATTCTTTTGGACTATTGATGGATTTTTTAGATAATAAATCATATGGTGAATTATGTTCTACTTGTTGACTATCAACAGGTGTTGTTAATCTAAAGAAAAACAATCAAAAGATTTTGAATATTTTATAAATCGTCTACGATTTCTCTTTTGAATTTTTTCTGTTTGTTACACATTAGAGAATCCTAATTAGCATAAAACAAGACCGAGTCATTAGTCGAAGTTCGGATATTGTTATCTTTTTAAGATGAGTAGAAGCATAAGAAAATCATCCTTATGATAAGGATGGCTGACTCATGTCTTCCTTAAACCTCTCACGCAGTTAGAACTATATTTTTGCTGCAGAAGAATTGATCGGGCTGAAATTTTCAGAGGAGATATACAAAGGTGTGAATAGTTGACAGTGGAAACTTCAACTCAAAATATTAATTTGATCAAAAATTATCACAACATCTAACAACAAAAAGTAGATCACCATCTAAGCCAATGTATTGATCGACGGATAAAATTTTTCGAAGAATTTCTTAAAAACTTTCCTCATTTCGAGAAGTTTCCAAATGAAAAAGAAAGACATCGATGGTAGAGAGCCTGCGAACAAGAAACCAGACGATAACATCCCGACAAATTGTTTTGAGACGTCGGAAGTTTTTAAAAATCAAATATCAATTTTTTTGTCTCAAAGATAGTGATGGCGGTGGAATTACTTGAATCTCTGCGGTTCAGCCAATCAGCTTATACCTGTTTTCGTGCGTTGAGGATTTCGAGTTGGTGACAAAGTATTAGCAACACTTATCGTAACAACTACACAGCCAGATTTTCGAGCAACATGAAAAATTAAAACCTTTTCAAATTTTCTAGCATGTAAAATAGCCTAGAAAACTTTTGCACACGAAGAGAAAAATTCATTACAGGAAAAACGCGAAACAAGCCTAGGCGTTGAAAAATTAAGTTTCTATTCGTTGTAAAGTCTTACATGAACATTGGTTCGGAAGATTAGGAAGTGTATTTAGGGCACATTTGTCGATATATAATAGTCATGTTCTCCATATTACAAATTTATAAAGGAGTTCAAATAATTTACAAGATTGTATCTCGCAAATTACCCTTTAAAATACGAATTTTAACGAAAATCTACCAATACCATTGCAAAATTAGTGAACCATAGTGCGTTGAAATTTACTCACAATTCAAAAAAGATTTTTGACTATCTTCTCTTCATTCGAACTCAATCAAATTAAACACTCACATCCATCTAGATATTATACTTACTCTTGTTGAATAGTATTCAATGTCGAATGAGGTAATGAATCATTTTGTTGTAAACTAGTGTCACTAGTTGATATACTTGTTTTAAGCATATGTCTATGACGTGCATAATATTTCGATGCCATATTTGCTTGACGTTTTGAACCATATGCAAAACCATTATTGATTGCTGTTATTTCACTATTTTGTGCCATTTGATATTGACACATACTTGATGAATAATGAGAATGTGGTGGTGATGGTGAAGGAATTTGTTCAGTAAATGATTCATCACCAGTTAAATTTTCATTTAGGATAATTTTATCTTGATTAGTTTCATTTGATGATGATATTAATGGATGTGATGGTGATGATGGAGATTGTTGTGGTGTTTGAGGTGGTGGTGGTGGTTCATTATATGATTGATTTAATAAACGTTTTTTCTTTCGTTTTCTAAAACAATTATTATATTGACAATGCATTGTTAAATCCGAACGTGATAAAACATAAAATGCAAGTACATAAAGTGCCAAAAGTAAAACAAAAGATCCATATAAATGATTATAAATTGAATGTTCTAAACGTATATTAAATGAATGTAATGGATGTATATATATAGATAAACTTGATAGAAATATAAAACTTAGAAGAACTAATTGAAATAATATTGATAATAATTGATTAGATGGTTGATGTTGATGATCCATATCAGATGAACATAAACTATCCATATGTGATTGACGACAATCAATATGTGGTAATGTTTCATTTCTATTATCATTATCTGATGGTATTATAATTGGTAAGATTTCATTTGGTTTTGATGATGAAATATTTTCATTTGTTTCAATATTTGTTTCAGGTTCAATTTCCGATTCATCTGGTAAATTACGTAAACGTATTGCTTCTTTTGTTAAACGTTTTATATTAATACGTGCAGATAAGAGGAATATGAGTAATAGAAAAATAAATATTGCTAATGGAATAAATAATGTTAACAGAGATTCGAAATTATTTAAAAAACAACTAAAATAATTAAAAAAAAATTAAAATAAGTTACAGTTTTAAATATAAATAGTAAATCTTTTTCTGTAAGAGTTTTTCCGACTTTGCGATTTTAGAAAAATATGTAGTGATTTAAATATGTGTGAAAGAAAATCAATAACGATGAATGAGAATAGTCAATAATTGGTTCCTATAGAGTTGTTATAATTCTACTGAGAATCTCTTCATAGTTTCAGATGTTCGTTCTTCAGTACTATAATCCTTCTGATGTTGTTAGAAGAAATTACAACCATTCTTAAAGTCATGAAGATTTGACCATTCATTCTTTCGATTTTTTCATGTTGTACTAGAGGAATATTGTTATTCGTCAATACTGAATTGATGCTATTCGGTGCACCGGCGACTTCATGACAGCCTTGGTACAGGTTGAATTTTTTCAACTGAACCGACTCAACCAGTTCAATCCGTAAAAACTGGCTCCTCTTATATATCACTTACGAAAGTACTTCTTTTAATAGAGTTTCTTAATAGACCTTGACAAAAAGATTGAGTAAGATTGCTATAAATCTTCAAATTCTTAGTACTATCACTGCTCACTTAGTCCGTCACGTACGACTAGAAGCTGCTAGTACGTACGGTAGATGCTAATACTAGGAGACAAAGGGAAACTGCTTGAAAACTTTTTATCTGGTATTTTTCAACAAGTGATATATATATATATAACAATGTCTGCCTTATTTTAGCTGATTTTTCTTAATAAATATAAGATTTGTTTACGAGAAATAATAAGTTTCATGTGTTTTTATTTGAAATTATTATTTAAGGTACTTGAAAAACTTTTCCATTCGTAATCTAATATTCCCGATAAGAAAACTGAGTATAATGTTCGATTTTGAAATAGACTTCATATTTTTTTTTAATCTTAAAACCTAAGTTAAGTAAATTCAGATTTCCTGGTGACGAAAGTTTCACATGAAAAAGCATTGTTTTATTTTTTGTTCATTATGCAATTAGAAAATGATCTGAGACCTCCTAGCCATGAAGAGTTTCTAACAATCAGATGAGAAGTGAGCATGAAATTTTCAGATTTCTTGAATATTCAAACCATGAAAATCGACAAAAAATAGCAACATCAGTACTCTTAAAACTAATAAAGAAGCTTATTAGTTTCGTACCAGTTGCAAGTCTGTTTTATGATATAACCACATGTTTACTTCAGTTAAAACATAAATTATCATCTCAAATTGAAATGTGACTACAAGTTTTTTTGACTATATTAAGGAATAAATGTAGGCCACTAGAATAAGACTTCCTCTATCTAATCGTATATGTATTATCAGGTTCTACTACGTGTGGTTAAAATCTGAATAGGTGCCGCTACCTATCGAGATGTCAATGATATGTAGTAGAACTTGATAATACATACATACACCCTCAGAGAGAGGAAGTCTTCATATAGAAATCTTCACATATTCTGTTATGTGATCAAAAGGTTATAGTGGTCTATTTTCTATATTTTACAGAAATATTCAAATATAGTCTTATGAATTCTTGTCATTTACATTTTATTTGTAATATATTGATCTCGTGATATAGCCACATTAATTCCACAAATAATAAATGATATTCCATAGGCAAGAAAGTAAAATTGTATAATAGGTTTCGTTTTTAATTTCATTATAGGTAATCCATCATCATCATAATCAACAATAGTAACTGAAGATTTTCCATTTGGATTTTCATTTGTATCATCATTATGACCTTTACCTGTCCATATAACATAAAGTTTTTGCCAAATACAACTAAACAAAGAACAATTCATTTTCATATGTTCATTAAAAAAAACCGAAAATAACATACTATGTTAATAATGTTAACCAAAGTATTGTTGTTAAACAAAGATAATGAAGAGTAATAGCAATAAATTGACATAAAAATAAATATTGACTTTGTCTTATACCAAAAGCAAATAATGGTAATAAAAATGCTAGACTAAGCCAATAATTAATTAAACAATGAAAAAAACTTCTTGGCATTAAATAAACTCTAAAAACGAAAAGGAAAATTGAAAAATTTTTAAAAATAAAATAACATACTTATGACAACAAACATAAAAAAGTATACAAATAAAAAAACAAGCTGATCCTATTATTGATGAAATATAAATAACTAAATCTGAATAATTTGTGTTTAAAAATAAACTTGGATTTTCATTGAAATTATTTAAATATGTTATCGATAAAGAAGTATCTTTTGTTAAAGTACAATCCGTTGATATTAAATCAATATTCTAAAATACAATACAAAACGAAATTTTTCTTAAAAATAGAAAACAAAGTTTTTTTTTTTTTTTTTTCATATACTTGTCTATTAATTTGACAAAAAGATGATTTCATTTGCCAAGATGTTTCATTTAAATTCCATATTCCTATAGATGCTTGATTTGATTGACCATAAAATGTCACTGTTACGGTTGAAACATTACCTGATGTTACTAAATATAAGAAATAAAAATAATCTCGAGCTAAACACTTCAAATATTGAGAAATTTTATTTATCCCATTACAAAACATAAAATCTTATCCGTATTTTACTTTACAGCGAGAATTTTAAACCCTTACGAGGGAAATCCTGCCTTAGCATGAGTAGCATAATGTAAAAGTTTCAGATCTTTTGCTTTGCTTCTATCCTGAAATAAGAACATCACATGTGCCAGCCTATATCAGCGATATGAAAGCGATACTATTAACATTAGTCATACCTTAGAGTAGGGACAACGGACGATATCTGATAATGCACATAATCTCGTCTCAAAAGCGATTAAACAGTTGAAGGGCTTCTCTTCTTAGAGTCACTATCAGACTATATATATACACACAATCTCAATGTCATAGATAGTTTTCGATTGAGCCAATTGTTCAATTTTTACTACGTAGAAACCACTCGAGGTGATACCTTTCATTTGAGATGTCATCCGAAGCATTACATCGAGCCTGTTGAGATTACAAGAAACCTAAAAGGATTCTTTAGCATGTGTGGCACTTTTAAGATTACAGTGAGTTTTTACTTTTGGTGCAGTATTTACAAAAAAAAAACCGAACAAATGAATTTTGGTTTATAATTTTGTTCATAGACAATTCTTGAACTTGTTAGAATGTAGCATCATGGTTTGTTTTTTTTTGTAGATTTGATATCTCGGGTAGAGAATATTCTTTCTGGCTGTAATTCTTAGGAGATTCTAATAACAACAAGAATTGTCTATGAGCAATGTTTTAGGCCATTATTTGTTTGTCCGTTTCTTCAATAAATACTACATCAAAGGTAAAGAATCTCTTTTAAGTCTTAACAAGTCTTATGTAAGGACTAGGATCTCATCTCAAATGTGAAGTATCACCTCGGGTGTTTTCTTCATTAACAAATCTACGTGATTCTTTGATCTGAGTTCAAATACGATCTATTCTTACTTAGTTGCATATAAATAACAGGATTATTATTTGTTTTTATATCCGATGTAAACAATGTTGATGTTCGATAAAAAATAATTCTAAAAATTGATGATTGATTTATACTTATATTTGATTTTAATGGAAATTGAATTGTTGCTAATCCAGTCTAAAACAAAAACAATCTTTTATTGTTTTGTTTTTTCTTTTAAATAAAAAAAAAAACGAACCTCATGACGTTTATATTGTCGATTAAGAATTCCACAAACAATTGTTAATAATGGTCGATTTGGTATAAAACATATTGTTGGTGGTAATGGTGATTCTAAAGTCATAGCTGTTAATTGTTTTCCAACATAAACCCATGAATAATTAGTTAAATTTAATAAATTTTCTAATATAAATCTTAATCTATTTAAAGCTAATTGATATTCATTAATATGAATAAAATCTTGATTAATTTGTAAAATAAAATCTGTTAAACGATAAATTAACATTGAAATTTCTTCAATATTTTTATTCATATATATATATTTATCTTGTTCTTCATCAATTAAATCAATTAAAAAAATAATATCATCAAATTTAAATTCTTTAATATCAATTTTTGATATATATGTTAATAATTTATTTAATAAATTAGTTGAATTTATCGATAATAAATGATCAAATTCTCTTGATATATTTGTACGAAATGCACATTGTGATAAATCTAAATCAATCCATTGTCGATTAAATGAACATGTATAATATGCTTTAGGATCATCATATGAATTAATTAACCATGCTGCTGAACCAAATGGACATTTTAATTGTATTATTTGACCAGTTAATGTACGTGGCCAATAAAAATGTCCTTTAGATGTATCCATTTGTAATGATTGACAAAAATGATTTGTTTGAATATTTAAAACATGTAATGATATTGAACGATTTAAATTAAAACTATGACATGTCCATAAACCTGAATGATTTAAATATAAATATGGAATAAATATAGTTGAATTATTTGAATAAAATTTTTCATTAAATGTCCAATAAGTTTTTGTATTTGATGAACAATTTAATGTAAATGGATCATTTTGATAAACAATTTGTGATTGTTCAGGTGTTATAAAAAGAAAATTTTTTTTATTTAAACAAAAATCATTTTCATTTAAATATTTTGATTTTTGACAATTTATTTTATTTAAAAGATTTATTGTTTCAAACCATTTTATTAACCATTTTAATGTACATGTACAATTTAATGGATTATTTGATATATCAAAATTTATATTTGAAATTTCATTAAATGTTTTTGGTATTGTTTTTATTAAATTATTTGATATATATAATGATGATAATTGAGAAAATTTTGTAAATAAATTTAATGGTAAATAAGAAATTTTATTATATGATAAATCAACTATTTGAAGATTATTTAAATTTGTTAAAGAATTTATTGATGTTAAAGAATTTGATGATAGATTTAATACTATCGTAGATTTTGGAAATTGATTATTAAGATTAATTAATATTTCATCTGTTAATTGACGATTTGTACATGTTATTATTGTTAAATCTGATGAACATATACATAAATCTGATGATGGACATTGTTCAGTTAATGAATGTTTAATTAAATAAAATATTGATATGAAATATAAGAATAACATTACGTTAATATAACAATGAATATGAGAAAATGTTGACCGATGTTAAAGTCAATGGACGAATGAACAAATATTGCTTCTTGGTTTTTTTTTTTTCTTTCCTCTTCTTCTCTCAATCGATATGCATATATTGAACAAAAAACTATATATCATCTTGTACATTCATTCTTTCTTCTATATTCTCTCTTGTACATATGGCTTTTTAAGTGCTCTTGTTATTACTGGAAGTTTTGAATAAATTACATTGGATGAATTTTTATTTTCAATGATGATATTTAAACTTTAGGAATGTTTTTAACAGGTTTGATTGAATCTGAAAAATAAAAAAAGGTAGATTATAGATGGTGCTAATTGTTCGTTGTTTTGAAAAAATATTCAAATATGATATTAGAATATAAGTAATAAATTTAATGGTGATTGATATAATAGAGATTAAAAACGATCTAATACTTTAAGAAATTTATTTGTAAAATAGTACAGATGTCACCCTGTGCTAGTGATAATGATCCATAGAAAGAATATCTCCACTTTCCAGCTACCTTGCAGTATGATGTGCTGCCTAGCGACAGAGTCAATGATCCGATATCTCTCCTACAACTAGGAATAGCTGTAGTTCTGGACAACATAGACGGCAGAACCACGAAGCTTGAGTAGGCACGAACCCATCTAATATTGTATAGATAAGAGGTTACGAGGGAATTTTTTCAACTGCTTCCTTTCGATTTCAAAAATGTTTTTTCCCTATAGATGCTATATAGTGTTAGAATAAAAATCCTAAAAGAATTTGGGCTCCTATTAATATTCGACAAAGCTATTGAATTTTTAATATGTCTATTTTCTACAAACCTCAAGTTTTCGGAAAACTTGTATTTTCGACTATTGATCTGAAACTAATTTGTGGATATAGAGAACTCAACTAGATTAGCTTGCATAGAAAAAAAAATCAAAAGTTTTGAACAAAATCTCTTCGATATTTGAAGCTTGCGAAAAGAGCATGTTGTATATACTATCCATGGAACACAGCTTATATCTTTAAAGTCTCATATCTCAAAGAGACTTTGTTGAAAACTTCTAAATTCTTTTATGAAAACTAATCTAGTTAAATTCTCTATATTCACAAAATGTCAGATCAATACTCGATACTTTAATCAAATATCAATAGGAACTAAAATCCTTTTAGGATTTTTATTAGAACATTGTGGTATGCGTAGGTAAAAAAATCGCTGAAATCCGAAGGGACTAGCTCAAAAATTTCCCTCATCAACGATGGCGACTTCAGTCATTCATAGAGAATGAGGACATATAGAGATTGTAGAGTTGAACTTTATCCAAATTGCAAAGCAGAAGAAAGCTGTAGTAGATATTTTTAAAGTAGGAGAGTCTTCTGTCCTATCGCGCCGCCTTTATCTATAGATTATTATATTTTCATATGAGATATGACGTTTCTATGTTATAACAAATGAATATACGTTCTGTTTGGCTTCAAATGGCGGTTGAGCTTTCTTTGCAAATTTTTTCTAACTCCACTACTATTGTTATAAGTGTCCTATTTTTTTCAGGCAAGACCAAAACTAAGAAAAAGGGTAAAGTCTACAGAATAGGACTTTTCTCGAATACAATAGAAACATACTCTATAATCCAGAAGTTTGAATAAATTCAATCACCATCAAAATCTCTTCGATTGATGGAAACCTCATCTAATGTTCTACTCATGATAATTCTTTTTCGTCCATCGCTCTGTATATTTAATTGACAGTATCTGTATAGAATCGTCTATAAATGGTTTAAATCGATTGTTATTACAATACGCTGTAAAAAAAAAAATATTTATGATATATCATTAGTCTGTTCATGAAAATGATCACTCGCATTATAAATATCACTAATTTGAAATGCGTTGCACTTTACAACACATTAGTTATGACACATCCCATATGCGTGTTAATCTTTGTCACTTGGATTATATTTTATGTGTGAAAAATTATTATTGCATTCAAGATGAATTGAGATAAGTGATATTTTCACATTTAGCTTCTATTTCTTGATTATTACATAATGAAATATTGAAATGGAATAAATTTGATTGCGAACATCGAATAATCATGAAGAATAATTTAGAAAAGATGAAATTTCAAAGATATGTAAAATATAGTATATTCTCAATAGCTGAGTAAATCAGCTAGGACACAATGTAATGTATGACATTTGATATTTTAGTATATCTATTGAATTCATAGTTAACACGTTGCGTGATAGTAGACAAACTGATTACCCTTGATTGATTCTTGCTGATACTGTCAAATGGATTATATTCGAATATTTATATTAAGTGTTATTTTGTGATCTAATAGAATCATTAATTTAAGAATAATATCTAATAGTATATTGACTTGGAGACATGCTGACGGATCATGACTATCATCAAACTTTCATTGATAGACAATGTCAATCATATTAGTTAATTAATAGAAACATATGTCCTTTGATTAAGCACATCCATGATGAGTTTTATTCTTTCATAAACAAATAATTTTGTACAAATGTTTATTGTAACCTAGGTGCGAGTTTTATTTATTTTTTTCTATTATTATCATTTTTTTTTCTAATTTATTATCTTTTACAAAAAAGAAAATATGGGTAATGGTGGTATGTCTCCCGGTTATCATAATTCAAGTCATCCTTATCCACATGGCAATATGGTTCCCAATCGTCCGTATTATAATCATAGTATATATACGCCAGTTGGCTACAGACCATCTTATGGTTATCCAACAAATACTGGTATAGGTTATGGAAGAGGTTTTCAACAACCTTATTCTCCAATGATAAATGGTTTTCACCAAGGTGCATTTAATAATCAAATAGTTGGTCGAGGCTTTTATAATTCACCTTATCCGACATCTGGTGGTCTACAATCAGCACCACCTTCAGCTAGACCAAATGGTCATATTCATTTACATCGTCCAGGTGAACATCGGCCACATTTTGATGAGCAATAAATAAAATATCTTTGTATTGATTTCAAAAATCTTCTCTTAGCATACATTCATTTCATTTATCATATATGTTTTTTTTTGTTTCAAAAAGTTAATCAAGAAATAAGAACGAGTTAAGTAGAAGGATAATCACAACAAAAAATAATGAACGCCAAAAATGGTATTAGTAAAGACCAAAAATCGCAAGCAGAATAGAAGGGAAAAAAGCAGAATAGATTGTTTTTCTTTTTGGTTGTCTCAATAAAGACACCGGAGATGTGTATCGAAGGAAAAAAAAAGCTCGACAAAGAACAAAAAAAGGCAAAAAAAATTATATATTTATTCGATTGTACAAAATAATAGAAAGTTTATCGTTTCTTTTGACTACCGCCGGGTTGTGGTTTATCAACACCATAACCTAATATCAATGTTAAAATATCTATTTTTTAATAAAACATTTTCTTACCTTGTTGTGGGTACTGTGGAGCACCGCCCATTGGATAAGGAGGAGCCACTAAACAAAATTAAAAATACATTTTCAATCAAAATTCTAATTCATTAACTTACTCATATTAAAAAATGGATTGTATGGATTATAACCAGGTGGCATCGGAAAGAACGGTTGCATATATGCAGCTGGATAAGGCAATGCTGTACCATCTCAAATGAAAAATATTCAAAAAATAATCATTTCTCTTAATATTAATCATACCAGGTACTGTTGGTGGTGGTTGACCACCAGCTGATGGTGCTGTGGGTTGTTGTGGATATGGTGGAGCAGCACTTGGTTGATATTGTGGAGCAGCATTTGGTTGATATTGTGGAGCAGAGTTCGGTTGATATTGTGGAGTAGAGCTTTGCGGATATTGCGGAGTAGCAGTTGGTTGATATGCTGGTGTTGCTATATAAAATAAAATAGCAGAAAAAATCGTTTATTCACATAACTGATTGATGTACATACTAGTTGGTGGTGGAACATTTCCACCAACAATTCCTCGTTGAATATCTTTCATTAAATCTTCTTTTTCTGTTTTACGTGCAAATACAAAATCCGATACTTTATTTTGAAATTTAAGTAATAATGGTGTAAGATCATGATAAAACTAAAAAGAAAAAATAACAAAATAAGAAGATATACGACGGTCGTTCAAATAGTTTCGAAACTGGCTTTATTTAAACAACAATAAACAGAACTACTGTTTTGGGATTGTTATTTATTTGTCATTCACACATCCATATTGTAAATATCGTAGTAAGTTTAGTGGTTAACCGATTACGATAACCGGTGGGTTACGGATAGAACAGAAAAATCTTCTGTTGATTGCGCAGAGTATCATTTTCTCGTTTTTCATAGATTAAAATATCTAATAGCCTAGTTCAACATATAAATTATATTTGTACTCATTCAATAACGAAACCAACAAGAAAAACAAAATGAAATTAGATATCGTTGCAATACTATATTTTTTGAGATCATTGTTCCAACACTTCTCGGATGATGTTTCAGGCAATAAGGACTTGATAATCAAGATGATATTTCTATGTATCCTGCGTTCTAAGTGAACAAAAGCTAGTTGCAGAACTGATTTGCCAATCCTAATCACTGAAAAATCAGAAAGAAGTTCTCTAATTATCTAGTTTAGACGATATTTTCATTCAATGTTGATGTTTCAGGCGAATTCAACGTGCCAACATTATCGAAGGACCGTCAACCTGTGAAAATTCAAAAGTTTTCTGAAAGGGTGTGAGTGTTTGTCTTCTCTCATTTTACATTCACATATCCACCCTCAGTCATCGTTCAATATTTGCGAGCGTATTGTGTCAGTTTATGGTAACAATACTCCATCACGCATCAGAGTATTCGAATAACCTTTTCGCTTTAAAGCTAGACAATTAAACATCGATTATTATCCTAGGGTGAGTCCACTGATTATTGTAACGAACGAAACAAATGTTAAAACTGTTGAAAGTGTGTTCACCGCAGAGCATCTAGTTACAGTTCAGTCAATAGTGGACATTCTAGACATTTTCAACTGGCACTATACATGGCCCTTTTGCATGATCAGTTACAAATGACTAAAGCCTGTGCAAGATCAATGTCACATTTACTAATACCTGATCAAAAAGATAAGCGTGTTTAAGAATGTCAAGAACTCCATGTAATTGAAAAGTGTTTCATAAATGTCATTAGATATTTTCTATATCATACACAGATCTCAGCGTGTTTTAATAGCGTTTCAACGAGCATCAGATGATGTGTTATTCTCGAGATCATCGCGTGACAAAATATGAACTTTGGATGCGTAGGTAGACAAAAGAAAAAAAAATCTTGAACGATCACTCTATAGTGCTTCGCGTGGTGAAAATACATTGTTGAAAGTATGGTTGGTTTTAATCAGTAAACTACGGTATCTAAAAAAATATTTTATGGTATGTTCCCACACACCATGTAAAATTATTGTGTATGAGAGGACTCTTCTTTCATATATCTACTGTGGATGCAGCTTGTGAGGATAAATTCGTATGCAGAAATACTATTTATGCTTTGTATAATAAATGAAAGTATAAGCAGGATGCTACCTAGAGTACAATTTGAGTAATAAAAGTGAGTATTATACGCCAAAAAAAAAAGACGTTAATACGGCTCATCGTTATTCGGCGGAAATGACATAGAAGGGTATTGTTTCTGATAGTCGGAATGATCCATCTGGAAAAGTAAAAAATGAAAAATAGTCCATCGAATAGTGATTGGTGAATATGTTTATATTCTTTCGTTCTATTTCTTCTAGTTGAAGTAATTATTTGTGGTAAATGAAACGTAATGGATTTATGTTGATGTTCTTTTTCTTTTCGTTTCCTCTTGATCTATGTGACTTTATATGGGGCGAACCATTTCTGCATGAACTGGAAAAATTTTCCTATCGATTAGTCTAATTGTTCACTGCTATTTGCAGCATAAAAATGCTTCACTACATACATAACATCTCGTTTTTTCTATTACTCATGATTTGAAATATGAAATGCTTCATCATTCATGTTATTTTTCAGATTTGACCTCCATTAATTATTTCCTGTTTCTCGTTTTGAAGTATCAACTTAGAAAGAAGAACTACAACGATTGAAGTCCATTAGATTCATCATTATTATAGTATCTTTTTTTTAAATGTAAAATCACTCTCGAAACTTTTTCAATAATCTAGGAATAAATTGTTAAACAAAATGAAACTTAACTAACCTTTGTTCCTTCTCTTAAATTACTTAATAATTCTTGAAAAGCATCATATGCTCGAGCTAAATTTTTTAACATTTCTTCACGCATTTCTGATGATGCATTTCCTTGTTTTTCATTTTGAAATTGTTGATTTGCACGACGAATATTTTCAACAAGTTGTTCTTGTTTTGAAACACTTTCATTAACTTGTTGTCGTAATGGTGAATAAATTGCTTCGATTTCATTAACAACAACACTATTTTCATCATTATGATTTCCTTGTTGAAAAGCAGCAATTAAACGAGCACGAACACCATCAGAATCTGTATTTTTTAATTCGGATTCAATTACTTCACGTTCAGCTTTTACTGCAGCTACAGTATCCATTAAACGATGTAAGTCACGTACTGGAAATGCATCACGTAAAGCACCAGCAGCAGATGCCGAAGGAAGTTCATTAGCTATTTCATGCTACGAAAAAATATAAATAGATAATACAATATAAAAAAGCCGACTTCGCGTCACGCGCATTCAAATCTTCGGAGTTTTTCAGAATATATCGAGACTTTAGTGGAAAGGATATGATAAAATTTTCAGCTCTATATCGTAACGTTTGTGAGAGATATTTATCAAACAAGAGTCAAATTTAGCTCATTTGGAGATCGAAAACTCTGTATCGATCCTTATGCTATACGTTTGTTTATTTTTTTTTCGTTTGAAAGAGCATAATAATAGAGCATTCTTTTTTAAAGTTTCTACTTTCTATGTCGAAAAAAAAAGAATGATAAATTGAAGGTCTCTAAAACTTATTTTTGCATAAAGTTTTTTTTTTCCTGAAAATGATTGTCTACTCAATTTTGTACTACATTTTTACCAAAGGCTTGATTGATTCTTGATGTTTTTGATTGAAACTAAAATTCAGTCTATGAAAGATTTCTAAATTCATCGTCTTTTTCACACGATGATCATTTGCTATATCATTTACTAGTCCTCTAGGACAAAGACTTTTGTCTACTAATATACGGTTATCATTAAAACCGACTTTCAGAGTTTGAAATACAATCTTACAATAATAACTCTAGGAAACATATGAGATCATTTACCGTTTGTTTACTAAGTAAAGCAATAGCATCTCGATTCATTCGATATTTTTCTTGCACAATTTTATCAGCATTAATAGCATTTTGAATAATATCCATATATTTTTTAGCTTCTGCACGTAATGGAGCTGTTAATGTTGATGATGAAGTACGAGTCCAACGTTCTTTAAATTGAATACGTAATTCTGTATCACCTCGTTCTTCATCATCCAACATACGAATTGCCTAAAATTAAAAAAAAACACAAAAAACAAAAAGATGTTATTATAAAAAAAAGAAAAATCAAATTATACTTCATCGAGAATTTCTTTATTACGAGTTAATGATGTTGGTAAGTCGTTAACCATTTTTTCTAATGCATTAATACCACCTTGACGTTTTATTTCATTAGCTTTTTCAATAACTGATGGTGGAATTTCACGACCACCACGATCTTCAATTGCAGCTGGTAAATTAAGTGAAGCCAAATATCTATAGATGAAAAAAATTATGAATACAAACATCAAAACTTCATATATTATATTTACGCATTAAGTACATTGGTTGCTTCACGTAAACGATTAATTTCAATATTCATTATTTCTGCACGTTTTGAACTAAATGATGCCAATGCATTATTTAATGCAATTGGAACAAGTGAAGCAAATAAATCTAAATATCAAAATCATAAATATATTCATATATATATCAATCATATTATTTATAATTACCTCGAAAATCAGGTGTTATTGGAAATGTAACCGGTAATGGTTTAGCAACAGGTTGAGCCAAAATTGTTTCCAGTGATTTTGGATCTGGTAAACGTTCATGATAGACAAAATCATTATCTTTACGTGCTGCATCAACTGCTTTTGTTATTTCATCTTGATTAGCACGAAGTGCTGGTGTAAATGCAGATATTGAACATTTACTTACAGCTTGATCAGCGTGTTCTTTAGCTCGCTAAATTATTTTTATTAATTATTAAAAAAATAAGAAAATTATTTTGTTTTCATTTACATTAAATCGAACGAGTGCAAGACCATATTTTCTATCAACTTGAGCTTGTTTACCAGCATGATATTCAGCTTTAGATTGAAATAATAAATGTTTAACCCACATAATATTGATGAAATTCTAGAAAAAAAAATCTTAAAGATGAATCGAATTTTTTTTTTAACTTTAATCACTTTTATAAAAACAAGTTCTTTTTTCTTATTCTACAAAGCATGATTATTAACATAAAAAAACCTTTAGTAATATTATTAAAAACTTCCTGTTTATAATAAAATCATATTCAATGTAATTTAACTTTAAACTCTCTTGAAACTTTATCAATACAATTCAATGTTTTTAGTTTTGATTTAGTTTTTTTTTATAAGAACATGAAATTCGATAAGTAGTATCATCCATAGGAATTATTCAGGCGCTTGGAAAACGATAAAAAACTTGAAAGCAGGAATTCGATGGTTAGTTTTTTAGGTCCAGCTGTGACCGGACAGAGTAACCCATTGAGTTCCTGCTTCCAAGTTTCTATCATATTCAGGTCGTGGAAATAATTGACTTGGGAACTTAAGATTTTCGATATAAGAAATGTGAACGGATATGCTTTCTCTTTGACGTTGTAAGCTTTTTCTCTCTCTCGGACATAGGTGCGACGAGAAATCTTTTAAACACATAAAAAAATTATACGAATAATTTGTTTCAGTAAGCAAAGTTGTTCGTAATTTGTGGACACTTCATGTCGCGTGGCTTCGATACCTAAAACCAGTAAATTGTTTTGCAATTGGACCGACACGTTGAAATTCTTGACTTTTGAAGTAATCTCTTGATCTACCGCTTTTCCGATCGCAATGATTTTTTGTTTATAGATACTAAGTTTTGTTCTAATAAAAGTTCTAAAAGAATTTTGATTCCTATTGATATTTGACTAAGCTATCGAGTTTTTAATATGTGTATTTTGTAGATACCGCAAGTTTCCGGAAAATTTGTTTTTTCGAATTTTAATCTAAAACTCTGTGTCTATAAAAAACTAAATAAGATTGGTTTCCATAAAAGAAATTAGAAGCTTTCAACGAAGTCTCTTCGTGGTACGAGTCCTTTCTCGATGGATAATGCATATAGCAGAGAAGTGGTATCGGACAATATCTATGCATTGTTTTGCTTGACTTTGATGTTGTCTTATTTGAAATCATTATTTATCACATGAGCCACAAATTTTGGTGTTTATACTAGACTTCATATTTCTAACTTTTTTAATCGATAGATGTTTTCTATATTGTATGAGAATAGCAGTCGACATAACTTTTACAGCAGAACAGAATCTTTTCTAATATTTTTTGTAATGAAAATATGAACTGAAACCTATTAGTCATTAAATGGTTCTGGCAGTCATTCATAGTTGTTTTGTTTTTCATGACCGTGATCAATTAATTCAACATTATTCGAAGCTCTCATCGTACGATAAGAAAGCTTAAGTTCAAAATTTAAAATGAGATTTGTAAACAATTAGAAACTTATAAGTTGGAGACTTTCAAAATCATATTTCTAAACTATTATAGACATGAAAATCGATAAACTCGAGCAAAATAGACTAGTTTCAATGGCCCTACAAATTGAAAAAGAAACAGACAAACTGGTCGGTTCAGTTTCAAACCTGTTTAAAACATTACAAAAATACTTAAAATTGATATAGATTATTAACAGAAGATATGCATTGTCATATGGCAAGATCTACAGCTTAAAATATCTTCAAGCATGTAATGGCTAATGTGTTTTTTTTTGCTGCATTATTTAAATGTCTTGATGGCAAGGGCAGTTAGTAAAAACAATGTACTTACTTCCGGAATTATCTTTTTAGCACTTTCCGTTTTTGCTGATGTATAAGCTTCCTTGTAACAATCAGCTGCATGAGCAGCAACTTTAGCTGCAAGTTCATCTAAACAAAAGATCTTCATATTTAAAATATTAAACAAATAAATTTACCTTTAAAACTAGATGATTTTAAATGAACAAGTTCAGCTGCTTGACCTAACATCAACCATGAAATACTTGCTAAAACAGCCGGTTCAAAATCTACTGATAAATCCGATAATGAGTTAGCACTGACATAATCTTTTAAAAATGAAAAAACTCCAGATGATAATTGAAAATATCTCAATGCTGCTTTCATTTGTTCATCCATAGATAAATTTTGTGCTAATGCTAATTCACTATATGCATGACCAATATTAAAAAGTACACAAGCTTTTTCATATGCTAATTTCCATGAACCATTTGTTTTTTGTTTACCACCAAATAAACCACCACCACTAACTAATGCATCTTGCCATTTAAAATAAATACGAATTTGATTTTCTGTTATTGGTAATTTATATTCAATAGCATGTAATTGATCATAATATCTAAATATAAATACATAAAAAGAAAAGAAAAATTTAATTGTTGGTTTATTTTCTTCTTATTACCGAAGTAATTTTGAGCAATCATCTCTATAATTACTACGAAGTAATGATTCAGCTCGTAATGCATTCAATCCTTCAATTGATGCTGAATAATCTTCTTTATCACCAAATGTCGCTTTAATAAAATTTTTAATAGGTGTTGATAAAGTAACATCATAAGCTTTTTTAGCTGGTACAGATAGAAAATGACATGGATTCGACATCGTTTTTTGATTTTGTTCTTGTTTGTCTATCTGAATAAAGAAAAATAACTAAAATTATTCTGTTAATAGATTAATAAACCTAAAAAATGATTCACAAGAACATTATACTAATCAAACAATCAACAATGAGTCATGAATACTTTTTGACCAATGAAAAAAGATGGGTCGCTGGTTACAATGAATATCAAGAAATAAACAAATAAATGTATATGACTAATTGAGTTCAAATAATGAATCATCAAGCATGATTTCTATAATGGAAATGAGAAGGCTATTTTGTTATGCTTATAAGGCAAATTCAGCTATAACAAAAAGTGTTTTTTTTTTATTGTAGATCGAATATCGAATGTTTAAAGTTAAGCGATCAATTCCACTTGTTTTTTAACGTTTAATGAAGAATATAATAGATTGAATTTGACTATGAAATGAGTTTTTATGGAAATTAATTTGTAATGACTCTTATATGAATCTGCAAACAATGAGTTCATTGAATAATTTACATATAAAATATTCTTTTGCAATAGAATTGAGTGATAATGAGTAATTCATGTGAAACTCATTCGAACGATATATGAATTAAAACACATTAAAAAAATTTTCTCATGTCTATTTAAGCATAAATACAGATGCCACTTTATTAAAATACAAGGTTATTGTTAGACATTCGTCAATTTTTGCTTTCGCTTAGAAAAATATCTTTCATTTTGTTTTTGTATATCTTTATGTGCAGCCAAAAAAGATCTGCATAGGATTTCAATATTTAATCTTCTTCTCTCTGATAATATACTTATTACCTTAACATAGACGGTCGAATCTCTATTTACATCTGTTCGACGTCAATGTAAGAAGAGTAGCAATTTATATTTTACGACTTTAACCATCAGTTGATCCTTGAATCGAAGGTTATTATAATTTGCTTTCTTTTTATTTGGTTTGCTGGATATTTGAATGCATAAGTGTGTGTATTTAAGAAAAGAAATAATAAAAAAATAAAAACGAAAAAGACGATAATAAAGAATAACTACTAAAGAATTGTATCTGGCCGATAACTTGATGAGCTACTTGTATATGTTGTTAATTCACTTGAACTTCCTGTATTTGAATCGGTTGCAGATGAACCTGATGATCCATTTGTTGATCCTAAATTTAATGGTTCATTTTTTGTTTTAATTTCATTTGATCGATAACATTTGAGAAGTGGTGCACATCCTGATGTACTTGTTTTTATTGATGATGGCTTTCGATCTATTGCTATAAATTTTTTTTTCAATTTTGTTTGATTTTTATTGCATATAATATAATAAATTAAGAATGATAAGCCAGCAAGAACTAGACCAATACAAATTCCAAGTATTAACATCCAAATGTTACTTGCACTTATTTTTTTATTTACATAAGGTTTAGTTGAAGTATCATTGATAAGACGCTGTAATTCAGTTGTCTTATTCGAAATCAATTGATTTAGTGGTGATGGAATAGTAGTAGTTTCATTTATATGAAGTTCAAGATCATCATCATCATCGAATATCGGTACACGAAGATTTGATACTTGAATAATACTTAGACGAAGTGGCAATATTGATCGTTGTGGTGAAGGAAATGTGAGTGAGATATTCATACAAGGATTTGAATTCGGCAATGTGCAAATATGTAAAACTGGTCTAAGAACATCAGTATACAAAATAACATTATTATATGCAACAATATCATCATAACCTAATGTTGAGCGAGGTCCACGTTTTTCTGTTAAAATTTGTCGTCGATCAAAATTTGTTTGTTCATTAAGATGTACAGCAAGAATTTTTTCTTCTAAACTTAAATACATAATTTTATTTGAAAAATCAATTGTTGCTGTACATGGATATGGGCGATTATCATATGATGATGGAATTTTAAATAAAAAAACACATTCATTAACACTTAATGAACAACGTATAACTGTACACCAACCATATGAATCACCAATAATATAACCATCGGATGTTAATTGATCAATAATCATATCACTTATACGTAAATTGGGACTTAATTCACGTAAACGTTTCATAAATGGTGCTGAACCACGTGTACGTGGTCGTTGAAGTAAATCAATTATTTGTATATCTGAATGACCATAAACATAAAGTATTGATGATACATAATGAATATTGAGAAATAATGGCATTTCACTACGAATTGAATTCATAACTGAATGATTAGAAAAATTAGATATCCACCAACCATCGGAATATTGTAAACGATAAACATTACGTTCATGTGGTGCTGTTAAATAAATATTACCATGATCATCGCCAGTAACATCATGAAAACGAGGTACATCTTCTTGAGTAAGTAATAAATGAAAGGAATCATCACCACCGAATAAAACTGGCCACCAAACATATATACCTGATAATGATGTTAATACGACAACAGATGATGTTTGTTTTTTTGTTGATAAATCATCATCTTCAATATCTTCTTCATGATCTTTATGTGGAAGTACGAAATGATCACGATTTGATGTCGTTATATTTCGTACTTTATCAGCTTGTGCTGATATTCGATGGCCAATATTTAATGATGTACCATTTTTTAATGAAAATGATTTACTTTTTATTATGGACGGTGTTGTCCATGCAAATGTCAGATTGACAGTAAGAATAATGATGATGACTGAATAATAATAATAATAGGTCATAGAAAAAAGGAATTATACTAATGTCAATCATCAGCTATAAATAAAAAAAAGAAAAAGAAAAGATTGATGACAACAATGTTGTTCGTTATTGAAAGATAAAAGCATTAACAGAAAAAAAAAATTGTTATTTCATTTTGCTTTAAAGCATAACAAGATTTGATGCCCTCTTTATATCAATAGTATTATATAAGCAATACAATGTATCTATGTTGTAATAAAATTCTTCTATTTAAACTAATATTTAAGTTAATTGCTTTAGGTCATCTATGAACATATAGACATGTGTATATCTATACAAATAGTTTTATTATCATATGATAGTAAATAACGATTGATAACATGGTTGTTACCTTGATGCAATAGAAGAATGATTGATGAACATTATATTTACGATTGGATTCGATGCGTGAAAAGAAATAAAAGAAGAAGCCATGTGTAGACAAAGAATAAATGTATGCGATACCCTATCAGAACATCAATTGATATCCTCTACTACACTTATTATTTCAGAAGATGCAAGACAATTACTTGAATATACGTCATAGATTAGTTTTGAACGACTGTTACATCACTAGTATGACGTATAGAAGAAAACACATGATGCTACTTTTCTCTCTAAAAAACATCAGTCTATCACAGTTGTTATGTGCATTAACGATAGTCAGTATCTTAAAGAGGATTATTGCTGTCGTTTTTTTTTTGTATCGCTTTCATCCTATTGTCGTACTGTACACATACGGAAAATGGCGCAACAGTCTTCTTTTTAAGACTATTCTCAATGCCAAATAACAGTAATAAATATTTGTATTGACAAAAAAAGATATGCATGTTTCTTAAGAGAATTGCCGTGAGCTTTCTTAATTAAAGAATAAAAAGACAGACATTATATTTGGAAAACTAAATTAGGCGATAAAAACTGTTTATATGAAAGTAAGAAAAATAGTCTGTTAATTGCATACCCAGTTATAGACGTCGATAATCCTTCGTGACGAAAGCAATCGTCTGGTAGTTTTGGTTGATATATTACGAGAAATACAAATATATGCTTCTCATTTGTGTTTTGTATGATCAGTACTCAAGAACTTTTCGTTTTTTTCTTTTTATAGTGTCTGAGCAGTCTCTCATCATTTCTTCTTTCTCTTTCTCCCTTTTCCCTTGCCTTTCTCTTTTCGTTTGACATTAATGGGTGTGCATGGCGCAACTTACACATATGTATCAAAAGAAAAAAAAAAAGAAGGTCACGAATGTGCACACGTTATAAAAAAAGCCCAACGTTTGCGGTTTTCTTCCCGCTTGTTTTCTTTGTCTCTTATGCCAGGCGGTGTTGTTATCATCGTTCTTTTGTTGATATCTTACAACTACTAACATAAGATCATTCTTTTTTTTTTTTTGTTGGCTTGTTCTACTTATCGTGATATCCTTGATAATTTCTTGGTTTGTCCTCTAACATGTCATACACGATACAATCGAGATATCAAGAATGATGCCGTCAACATGACACAATCAATCAATAAGTTACAGTTTTTTTCTTCTCAATACATCATTTGTATTAACTGATAAATAAAAGACGTGTAATGGAAAATGTATACTGTATATAGAAAGTGAATATGAATAGAATGACTTTTTAATAAATATTAAAAAGAAATTAAGTGAATCATTTAGTATACATATGTTTTGCTTGTGTAATTACATTCGATAATAATCGTAACGAATGAAAAATGACCGTGTTCCGAACGAATATATTAATAATTAGTTCTATATATGCAATTGTATTTCTTTTAGTATAATTTTTATACATTACGTGATCGTTGTTTGAAACAAGTTAAATCATCAATCAATTTCTCTGTACAATATTTCATAATTGAAAAATGAAGATTAATGTTTGATAGTTTTCTTTTCTAAACGATATTCGATCTATGTGATTGATTTAAAACGAAGACTGCAAAGTGTCGCCAACGCATAACCTGGAATTTCTCTAATTTGACGGTGAATTAGATGTGGATTAAAAAAATTCCTATCAATTACATTGATGAGTGTAAACTGTGATATATATATATATTCCAACCATGTTAACTTCATCCTTCGCATATATCCTATATTCATATTGTTTTGTGACAATTTGTGAAAATCCAACCTACTTTCGCCTACACGTCTACTGAAATTTTCGTCAATATAACCCCAGGAGTTTTATCTTTAGTAAATTTTCTATTGACGAAGTTCCGGTTGCCCTTAAAAGAAAACACAGGTGTCAAGTTCTCTTTTTTTAAAAATGATTATTAAAATATACCGGTCCAACGATATATTTTATTATCTGTATAGGTTTGTTGAGAGATAGTGAGTTAAATCAATAATTCTTATCTACACATATTATTACATCATAGTAATGAGTAAAATGTTGAAATTTAATCTATGATAGAACCTCATTCATTAAAATATGCGTCATGAATACAAACTAGACAGATGCGTAACTTAGCATTGAAGCTAAGGGGGGGGGGGCGGTTTCTAAAATATATCTTCCGAGGTAGTGTTAATTTTTTATAAAGGAACATGTCTTTATTAAAGAAAAAGTTTAGCAGTAAAAACTNACAAAACAGGAGGCTGGCACCCAGGGGGGGACGGGGGGGGGGGGGGGGGGGGGGGCTTAGACTGATTGAGTCTCAGAAAAAACGACACTGTGCACAATTTTTAAAATCAGAAGAGGAGCGTCACGCACTGCATTCCCCCTGTAACCAAATATTAATAAATCACTATTGAATGCTGACGAATATCTATTTATTAGATGAAGATTAATCTAATAGAATTATTCCTTAGTTCTTTTTTTTTCTTACATATTATTATTTGTTCTTTTGCGATCTTTTCGCTTCGAGACAATTTTTTTTGAGTCTTCTATTCATTGCAATAAGTAGTACTTAAATTAGTAGAAGTTTTGATAGAAATGAATTATGTAATTAGATATGAATAATCAATAAATTGAAAATGACGTTTACATGGCCTGGATAAGCTACTTATAATATGAGAATCTCGTTTAATATTTCAATCGAGATGTATTTCACTATCAATATTGATTCACCAATCTGTATACATATAGATAGAGAATAATAAAATAAAGCTGAATTATGTGTAAGAATAAGGCACATTTCTTTTTCAACGTCTATAAATAAATATAAATATTAAAATATATTTGAAAAGAATGAATGCATTTTCATTATTTTCTATTCAGTAAATGTTTGATACGAATATAGGTCTCCTAAAAATGAAGGCTTTTCTTTCTTCGTTTTATTTATTATAAGCATTTTGAATTCGTTTTATCATAATGACATGTTAACCTTTTTTAATATATAAAAATAACAACCATAGCTGAAGAGCCATGTTAAGGTCATCTGATTTGTTACAATAGTAGTCTAATGATTGCCACATAGAGTAAAATGCGGTTCTTAGTTATTATATGCACCATTTTTTTTTTCTTTATGAAATTTGTATGGTAGTATTCAATGTATGATTCTATCAAGATGGAGATCAAGTACAACGTTTTGATGTTAAACTGAAGAATATTTCTCCTTTCCTTGAGCAATACGAAATCGTAAAATCAGAAAAAGCTAAAATTAAATTTTGATTTGAAAATTTCTCTCAATTGAGTTTTATATGATGCAAGATCATACCCAAGCGTGAAAAGTAGATCAAGCCTATATTTCACTTCTTAGCAAGACTCAATTAAATTAGTCGAAGCCGAAATGGCTTTGGCCTATGCCTTACGTAACTCGAGCAATGGTCGTTTTATTTAAGTTATCGACTTCTAAATTATTTTTCCATGAAAATCTGAACTATGAGATTTCTATCAAAAATTTTCAGTGATATTAGAATAATCGAATAGTATCACCTCAAACGAATTTTAAATGTCAACCATCGCTTGATTCTATGACTTTGCATATATAAGACATTACTATTTTTCGAACATTCAATATCTCACATAAAATGCATTAGTTTGAATCAAAATATTTTTTTGGCTATTCCAGGAGCACTGAAACTTGTATATAGCTAAAATTTCAGGTAACAACTTCATAATTCAGATTTTTATGAAGACATGACTTAAAAGTCAAAAAGTTCAATACAATGGTCATCACTCGGGTTTACATAAAGCATAAATTCGAATTGATTTCGGCTTTAAGTAGTCTTACTGAATCCTACTTATGAGTAAACTATAAAGGGTGTCCCAGAAGTTCTGAAACGATTTTAAGAATTCACCGTTCTCGCACTCTACAAAAGCAAATTCGCTGAAACTTTGGTAAATTGTTGTACATATGTGGTACTACATAACTGCAAAGTTTCAGGTCTATAGCTTGTACTATGGATGAGAGCCTAGAACAACACTGTCATGTACTATTTTCGAAATTTTCCTGTATTCTGGGTCTGTCAAAATGTCTATATCTCGGCTTAGGTAGATGATAAAATCTTGAATTTTTTCTTAAAAGATGCGCCGTGAAAAG